TGTTACCTTTTAAAAATCTTGCTGTGGATATTTAACATTAAGGCTCTGGGAAGTTCTACACTTCTTGGCAGCTTTGAATGCAAGCTTCATTGGCTGAGTAATAACCAATCCAGTGTATACGATGCCATAACCATTTAACTCCACTAGGAGACACAGGAGGAGCTTCCGGTTTTCCACTCATATCGTTGGGATTAACATCTTTATGTGCGGGCTGGGCGCAGTGGCTCACACCTGTAATCCCAACATTTTGGGGGGCCAAGGCAGGCAGATCACCTGAGGTCAGGAGATTGAGACCATTCTGCCCAACACGGTGAAACCCTGTCTCTACTGAAAATACGAAAATTAGCTGGGCGTCGTGGCACGGGCCTGTAGTCCCAACTACTTAAGAGGCTGAGGCAGGAGAATCACTTGAACTCAGGAGGCAGAGGTTGCAGTGAACAGAGATTGTGCCACGGCACTCCAGGTTGGGTGACAAAGCAAGATTGTCTCAAAAAAAAGAAAAGAGGCCGGGCGCGCTGGCTCAAGCCTGTAATCCCAGCACTTTGGGAGGCCGAGGCGGGTGGATCACGAGGTCGAGAGATCGAGACCATCCTGGTCACCATGGTGAAACCCCATCTCTACTAAAAATACAAAAAATTAGCTGGGCATGGTGGCGCGTGCCTGTAATCCGAGCTACTCAGGAGGCTGAGGCAGGAGAATTGCCTGAACCCAGGAGGCGGAGGTTGCGGTGAGCCGAGATCGCGCCATTGCACTCCAGTCTGGGTAACGAGAGCGAAACTCCGTCTCAAAAAAAAAAAAAAAAAGAAAGAAAAGAAACAGTTTGAAAGAGAAATTGGGTGAGGGAATGCTGACCTTTCCATTCAGTGACTCTGTAGCCCCTTTGGGCTTCTCTTTACCCAAGTTAGTTCAAGTTTAGTATATTTTTCCTACACCTGGCCCCTAACACAAGCTTTATCTGATCTGATACATGGGTTTAAACAGTGATCTGTTCCTCCCTAGAAAAAAAATGAGCTGGCCTGTCAGTTCCCAACTTGGCACCTCCCTAATGAATTTCAGAGATATGTAACGCTCATTGTCACCTCACCTGCTGATCCTAGAACTCACTCTGCATGTGAGATTTAGTGAATTCTCACTAAATGCTTGATGACTGCTGGACATCAGCAGATACCCACTGAACCTCGTACATGCCCTGCACCTTGCTTGAGATGAGCTAAGCCAAGCAGTTGAGATCCAGCACTGGCCTCATCCTTCCCTCTTTTTTTTGTTTTTTTTGAGACACAGTCTCACTCTGTCACCCAGGCTGGAGGGTAGCAGCATGATCTTGGCTCACTGAAACCTCTGCCTCCCAGGTTCAAGTGACTCTCCTGCCTCAGCCTCCCGAGTAGCTGGGATTATAGGCATGAGCCACAACGCCTGGCTAATTTTTTTTTTTTTTTTTTTTTTGCATTTTTAGTAGAGAATGAGTTTCACCATCTTGGCCAGGCTGGTCTTGAACTCCTGACCTCGTGATTCACCTGCCTCAGCCTCCCACCAAGTGCTGGGATTACAGGCGTGAGCCACCGCACCTGGTCTTTTTTTTTTTTTTTTTTTTTTTTTTTTTTTAAAGAGACAGGATCTCACTCTGTCATCCAGGCTGGAGTGCAGTGGCTTGATCACAGTTCAGTGCAGCCTCAAACTCCTGGGCTCAAGTGATCCTCCCATTACAGCCTCCCACGTAGCTGGGATCACAGTGCTGCCACCATGATGGGCCTAAGATTCCAGCCCTTAAGGAGCTACAACTCATCCACTGCATGTGTGTCATGGAGGCGGGGGTGTGTTGGGGAGGGCAGTACCTAGCCTGAATTACACAGGATTACAGATTGTGACAAACTGCGACAAACTCTATAGGAGATGCATGAAAGCGGGTGGTCAGGAAAGGTCTCTCTCGGGAGGTGACACTTATGTGAAACCCTAGAGAATAAGAAGCCAGCCATGAAATAAGGCGAGGATAGCTGGCTTTGGGTGACTGGGTGGATGATGGTACTGCTCAGCAGAGTGGGGAGTGGGAGAAGAGGGAGGATTAAAAATTTTGCTTTGACCAGACATGTTAACTTATTTTTATTTATTTATTTATTTTTTAGGCAGAGTCAGTCTTCGCCCAGGCTGGGGTGCAGCAGCCTGATCTTGGCTCACTGCAGCCTCTGCCTCCCCAGTTCAAGGTACTCTGTCTCAGCCTCCAGGGTAGCTGGAATTACAGGTATGTTCCACCACAACTGGTTTTTATTTTTATTTTTATTTTTGTATTTTTGTATTTTTCTTTTTTGTTGTTGTTGTTGTTATTATTATTATTATTATTATTTTTGAGACGGAGTTTCGCTCTTGTTACCCAGGCTGGAGTGCAATGGCGCAATCTCGGCTCACCACAACCTCCGCCTCCTGGGTTCAGGCAATTCTCCTGCCTCAGCCTCCTGAGTAGCTGGGATTACAGGCACACACCACCATGCCCAGCTAATTTTTTGTATTTTTAGCAGAGACGGGGTTTCACCAAGTTCACCAGGATGGTCTCGATCTCTTGACCTCGTGATCCACCCGCCTCGGCCTCCCAAAGTGCTGGGATTACAGGTGAGCCACCGCGCCCGGCTATTATTATTTTTTTAAAGATGGGGTTTCACCATGTTGGCCAGGCTGGTCATCTTGAACTCCTGACCTCAAGTGATCCACCCACCTCAGCCTCCCAAAATGCTAGGATTACAGGCGTGAGCCACCACGCCTAGCTAGATATGTTAAATTTGAGATCAGTGGTTACCCAAGTGGAGATCAGGAGCCTGGAGTGCTGGCAACTTAGTATTGGGAGTCATGGGATACAAGTGGCGTTTAAAATTAGGATTCTAGGGTCGGGCGCAGTAGCTCAGGCCTGTAATCCTAGCACTTTGGGAGGCCAAGGCGGGTGGATCACAAGGTCAGGAGTTCCAGACCAACCTGACCAACATGGTGAAACCCATCTCTACTAAAAATACAAAAATTAGCCATTAGCATGGTGGCGCACACCTGTGATCCCAGCTACTCACGAGGCTGATGCAGGAGAATTGCTTGAACCTGGGAGGCAGAGGTTGCAGTGAGCCGGGATTGCACCACCGCACTCTAGGCTGGGTGACAGAGCAAGACTTCGTCTAAAAAAAAAAAAAAAAAAAAAAGAATAAAGAAAAATTAGGAGAGGCCGGGCGCGGTGGCTCACATCTGTATTCCCAGCACTTTGGGAGGCCTAGGCGGGCGGATCACGAGGTCAAGAGATCGAGACCATCCTGGCCAACATGGTGAAATCCCATCTCTACTAAAAAATACAAAAATTAGCTGGACGTGGTGGTGCCCGCCTGTAGTCCCAGCTACCAGGGAGGCCGAGGCAGGAGAACTGTTTGAACCCAGGAGGCAGAGATTGCAGTGAGCCGAAACTGTGACACTGTACTCCAGCCTGGTGCCTGGCGACAAAGCAAGACTCCGTCTTTTTTTTTTTTTTTTTTTTTGAAACCGAGTTTCACTCTTGTTACCCAGGCCGGAGTGCAATGGCGCGATCTCGGCTCACTGCAACCTCCGCCTCCCGGGTTCAGGTAATTCTCCTGCCTCAGCCTCCTGAGTAGCTGGGATTACAGGCACGTGCCACCATGCCCAGCTAATTTTTTGTATTTTTAGTAGAGACGGGGTTTCACCATGTTGACCAGGATGGTCTCGATCTCTCGACCTCGTGATCCACCCGCCTCGGCCTCCCAAAGTGCTGGGATTATAGGCTTGAGCCACCGCGCCTGGCCTAAGACTCCGTCTTAAAAAAAAAAAAAAGAAAAAAAAAAAAAAAAAAAAAAAAAGAAAAGAAAGAAAGAAAGAAAGATAAAAAAAAAAAAATTAGGAGCCTAGGCCAGATCATGCAGGGCCTGAGTGTAGACAGGGGCCCAAGGGAAGGATCTAGCAGAAGAGACAGAAGGGATCAGGCAGGGCTTTGGACCTCTAGGCTTGATGAGCCACCTGCTGCCGGGCCTGCGAGGGGCCTGGAGGCGGTGGGGACGCGGTGTGAAGGGAGAATGAGAAGTGAGCGCGTAGACACCGAGAGCAGACATAACTTTGAAGGTGTCTGCCGCGGAGGCGGGAAGGGATGGAGTGGAGGTTCATGGGACTTGAGGCTCCAGGAGGACTTTGGAGAAGACCTGAGTGCTGGCCGGGTGTGGAAGCTGAGGCCTGTAATCCCAGGACTTTTTGGGAGGCCAATATGGGAGGACTACTTGAGCCCAGGGGCTCCAGACGAGCCTGAGCAACATTGTTAAGAGCCTGTCTCTACAAAAAGTTAACACATTAGCCGGGTGTGGCGGTGCGCGCCCATGGCTACTCAGGAGATTGAGGTGCGAGCACCGCTTGAGCCTGGGAGACTAACTCCATAGTGAGCCGTGATTTCGCCACAGCACTCCAACCGGGGCGACAGAGCGAGACCCTGCCTCGAAAATTAATACATAGGGCCGGGCGCGGTGGCTCAAGCCTGTAATCCCAGCACTTTGGGAGGCCGAGGCGGGTGGATCACGAGGTCAAGAGATCGAGACCATCCTGGTCAACATGGTGAAACCCCGTCTCTACTAAAAATACAAAAAATTGGCTGGGCATGGTGGCGCGTGCCTGTAATCCCAGCTACTCGGGAGGCTGAGGCAGGAGAATTGCCTGAACCCAGGAGGCGGAGGTTGCGGTGAGCCGAGATTGTGCCATTGCACTCCAGTCTGGGTAACAAGAGCGAAACTCCGCCTCAAAAAAAAAAAAATTAATACATAAATAAGACTTAGAACTCAATATGGAATGGTCCTGAGCCGTCGCTGGGCGGGTAAAGGAGGCGGTCCAGAGAGAGACCCCTCGAGAAGATGGGGCTTCGAGGCTGAGGAAGGCGCCGGCGGGAGAGAACGCACGTGGGGGGACCCAGCCTCGGCAGCCGACCCTTCCGAGCATGCGCACCAGGCGGTAGCGAACAACAGAGCCCGGCACGCCGGAATTCCGTTTCCGGGGCGGGCCGCGAAACCCGGAAGTGACCACTGAACTCCGCCGCGGCTCCACGGTCTGAGTTCTCAGCGGTTGCTTTTTCTTGCTCGTTAGCCACCGCCGCCGCGCCGCCATGGGGAAGCGACAGCACCAGAAGGACAAGATGTAAGTTGAACCGCAGTGGGGAGCAGGGGCTCGCTCTGCCTCAGTGACCCGTGTGTTTCGCACTGTGCGCCAGTCGCCTTCCCTCTCAGCTAGTCCCGGGAGCCCAGCACAAAGGTTATTTCCTCCCGGAAGCCGTCGCCCTCGCTTCTGGCTGGGTATTGACCCTCGGGCCGCCGCGCTCTCCCGCGGCTCCGATGGCGTCTGCTGCGGGCCCGAGCGCAGTCGGGTCTTCCTTTACTCTGCTTCTGCCGGGACCGCCCCCAGCTGCTCGCGAGCTTTGCCCCTGAGTGAGTAGTCTCCCTCTTCCGTACATCCGGTCTCCCCGTGTTCTGGTTCATGCCCATCAGCCTGCACACATGCTGCAGAGCCTTCCAATTTAAAGCAAACCAGGGTGGGTGCCAGCACGTTGGGAGGCCAAAGCGAGCAGATCACCTGAGGTCAGGAGTTCAAGACCAGCCTGGCCAACATGGTGAAACCCCGTCTCTACTAAAAATACAAAAATTAGCCGGGCGTGGTGACCGGCGTCTGTAATCTTAGCTACTTGGGAGGCTGAGGCAGGCGAATCGCTTGAATCTGGAAGGCGGAGATTGCAGTGAGCCGAGATTGAGCCACTGCGCTCCAGCCTGGACGACAGAGCGAGACTCCTCAGAAATAAATAAAACAATACGATAATGCAACACAGTACAATCCACCCGTGCCCCTTGCCCCAGTTCCCCTCCCACTGCCGCCGTGTTTTCTTTGATTCTCTCGGAACAAGTGAGAGACCCGAGGCTTCATGCTGTTTTCTGAGTCTCTTGAAACCATTTAAGTCAGAGTTTCAACTCGAGAACTCCTCTTGTCAGGTTCCCAGCGACTTCTTGTTGCTAAATCTAGTATTCAGTCCTCATTTTATTGGGCTTCTCAACAGTATGTCACACCGTTGACCACTCCCTCCTTCTGAAGCCCTTCTTTGGTATCTGGGATTTCACATGCTCTTTGTTTTCCAGCGGCCTTTCCTTTCCCAGTCTTCTTTCTGGACCCTCCTCCCTTCTCCCAGACCTCATAGGTTTTTTTCTATAAACATTCCCTGTGGGTAATATAATTTTCCAGTAATCTGTAAGCTGCTTTCCCCAGTCTTTTGTAGTTAGCGGCTTTCTTATTTATTTATTTTTATTTTTATTTTTGATATGGAGTTTCGCTCTTGTTACCCAGGCGGGAGTGCGATGGCGCGATCTCGGCTCACCGCAACCTCTGCTTCCTGGGTTCAGGCAATTCTCCTGCCTCCGCCTCCTGAGTAGCTGGGATTACAGGCACGTGCCACCATGCCCAGCTAATTTTTTGTATTTTTAGTAGAGACAGGGTTTCACCATGTTGACCAGGATGGTCTCGATCTCTTGACCTTGTGATCCACCCGTCTCGGCCTCCCAAGCGGCTTTCTTATTATCTCCACTGGAGGACTAACAGATGTCTCAATAATGTGCCTTAAACAGAACTCTTGATTTTCAGCTCCTGAGCCTGTTCCTCTCTGTAAACTAAAAATCCCAAGTCTCCCCACTGGCTGAACAGACACTCTTGTGGCCAAGAGAACCCCATGAAAACCTTAAAACTGAGTTTCTGGCCTTGATGGGATGGAGGTCAGATGTACCTTGTTATATCTCCCTCCCATTTGCGAGTTGGACACAGCTGATGAGAATTAATGTTGAAGTAGAGATCATAAGATTGACAAAACAGACTCTGCGGCAATAAGACACCAAATTATAAACAGAACCCACAGTCTTGCCAGACGATTTCCCTGCTTAAGTCATCCACTCCTAAACTTAAAGAATAAACTGTATTCTAACTGCCACAGGTTTTTCTTTTTCTGTAGCAGCTAAATAAGCACTGGTTTTCAGATAAGCAATATTAAAACAGTTGTAGTCCGTTAGCAGACATGGACTAACTGAACCCCTGTTCTACCAGTCATAACTGCAGCTTTAGTCCGGGCTCAGTAGGTCAGGCCTGTAATCCCAGCACTTGGGAGGCCGAGGCGGGAAGATCATCTGAGGTTGGGCGTGGGAGACCAGCCTGACCAACATGGAGAAACCTGTCTCTACTAAAAACACAAAAAATTAGCCAGAAGTGGTGGCACATGCCTGTAATCCCAGCTGCTTGGGAGGCTGAGGCAGGAGAATTGCTTGAACCTGGGAGGCAGAGGTTTTAGTGAGCCAAGATTGAGCCATTGCACTCCAGCCTGGTCAACAAGAACGAAAATCTGTTTCAAAAAAAAAAGTAAATAAATAAATAACTGCAGCTGTGATTGGACAAGAGACTGATTTCTGTAACTTTCTCCTGATAAGACAACCGACCATGGACAGGCCCTGGCCAGTTTACAGAGGCTGCTCATTTGCATGCCGTCAGATTTTTAAAAGACCTTTTGATGATAAGGCCTACTTATAATACATTTAAATGTTAAGTCTCCACCTTAAAGAGAACAGGAGTCATAGGTTACATGCATATTTATTTATTATGCATATGTGAGGACCATCTTTATGAATATTCAGAGATCCTTTAACCTGTTGAATACTTTTTTTTTTTTTTTTTTTTTGAGACGGAGTTTCGCTCTTGTTACCCAGGCTGGAGTGCAATGGCGCGATCTCGGCTCACCGCAACCTCCGCCTCCTGGGCTCAGGCAATTCTCCTGCCTCAGCCTCCTGAGTAGCTGGGATTACAGGCACGCGCCACCACGCCCAGCTAATTTTTTGTATTTTTAGTAGAGACAGGGTTTCACCATGTTGACCAGGATGGTCTCGATCTCTTGACCTCATGATCCACCTGCCTCGGCCTCCCAAAGTGCTGAGATTACAGGCGTGAGCCACCGCGCCCGGCCCGAATACTTATGATTAACTAACTTCTTCAGCATAAGGCTCTTCCTACTCCAGCCCCGCCTACTTCAAAGTGCCTGTCTCTGGGATTCAGCTGGAGGCCATGCTTCCAGCCTGCGGGATGGCCACTTTAGGCTGTAACCCATTTTAAGAAATAAAGTCTGTTTTCTCACTTTATAGATTATTTATTTATTTATTATTTTTTTGTTTATTTTTGAGACGAAGTCTTACTCTGTCGCCCAGGCTGGAGTGCAGTGACATGATCTTGGCTCACTGCAACCTCCACCTCCCAGGTTCAGGCAGTTCTCCTGCCTCAGCCTCCTGAGTAGCTGGGATTACAGGCACCTGCCACCACACCTAGCTAATTTTTGTATTTTTAGTAGGGACCAGGTTTCACCATGTTGGCCAGGCTGGTCTCGAACTCCTGACCTCGTGAACCACCAGCCTTGGCCTCCTAAAGTGCTGGGATTACAGGCATGAGCCACCGTGCCCAGCCTTTATTTTTTATTTTTTTGAGACAGAGCTTTGCTCTGTCACCAGGCTGGAGTGCAGTGGCACAATCTCAGCTCACTGCAATCTCTGCTTCCTGGGTTCAGGCAATTATCCTGCCTCAGTCTCCTGAGTAGGTGGGACTAGAGGTGCTTGCTGCCATGCCCAACTAATTTTTTGTATTTTTAGTAGAGATGGGGTTTCACCATGTTAGCCAGGATAGGCTCGATCTCCTGTCCTCATGATCTGTCTGCCTCGGTCTCCCAAAGTGCTGGGATTACAGATGTGAGCCACGGTGCCCAGCCAGATTTTTTATTTTTTTAAAGTTAAGATTCCCTATCCTTCATATTTCAGTGGTCACACCATTGCTCAGTTTGCCCGAGTCAGATCTCAGGAAGTTGGCCTTGGTACCTCTTACCACTTCCTGTCCATCAGGAGGTCCTCCTGGTTCATTCTGGAACTCACTGCTTCTCGCATCGTCCACTGCTCCTCTATAGGTGGTGTGTTTTTTTTTTTTGTTTGTGTTTGAGACAGGGTCTCCCTCTGTACCCCAGGTTGGAGCGCAGTGGCGCTCTCACAGCTCACTGCAGCCTTAACCTTCCTTCCTGCCTTAGCCTCCAGAGTAGCGGGGACCACAGGTGCAAACTTTCACACTCGGCTAATTTTCAAATTTTTTGTAGAGACAGATTCTTGCTTTGTTGCCCCAGGTGGTCTTCAACTCCTGGACTCAAGCGATCTTCCGGCCTTGGCCTCCCAGAGTGCTGGGATTATAGGCATGAGCCACTGTGCCTGGCCCCTATGTCTGTTGTGTTTATCACTGTATGCCTGACACATAGGAGGTGTGTTTTTGTTTTTTGAAAAAGAGTCTTGCTTTGTTGCCCAGTCTGGAGTGTAATGGCACAATCTTGGCTCACTGCAGTCTCCACCTCATGGGCTCCAGCAGTTCTCCTGCCTCAGCCTCCTGAGTAGCTGGAATTACAGGCGCCCACCACCACCACACCTGGCTAATTTTTGTATTTTTAGTAGAGACGGGGTTTCACCATGTTGGCCAGGCAATCTCAAACTCCTCCTGACTTCAAGTGATTTGCCTGCCTTGGGCTCCCAAAGTGCTGGAATTACAAGTGTGAGCCACCGTGCCCAGCCCATAGTAGGTGTTTAATAAGCATTTGCTAAATGAGGAAAGATTACTCACTTGCAGTGACTCTGTCCTCTTTATAAAGGTGGTGGTAGTAGCATTATCTTCCTCTCTTTTTCAGGTATATTACCTGTGCTGAATACACTCACTTTTATGGTGGCAAGAAACCAGGTAAGACATGCAGTCTTTCTGTTCTTCCTTGGGGGAGTGGTATTAAGGAACAGTGTCTTCAGGATATAGTGAGCTGTAAAAATAAACAAGAATATGGAAACTATGGTAGACAAATGGGCTGAGGACACAGTTCACAAAAGAAACACATTCAAGAAAGAAGAACAAGCTTCATCTTAGTGGTGATTTTTGTAAAATGTAGATTAAAATATTCCTCAATGCTGGGAGCTAAGTAAAAAAAAAAACAGGCTAGGCACAGTGGCTCACTTCTGTAATCCCAGCACTTTGGGAGGCCGAGGCGGGCAGATCACAAGGTCGAGAGATCGAGACCATCCTGGCCAACATGGTGAAACCCCATCTCTGCTTAAAAAAAAAAAAAAAAAATTAGCTGTATGTGGTGGCCCATGCGTGCCTGTAGTCCCAGCAACTTGGGAGGCTGAGGCAGGAGAATTGCTTGAACCTGGGAGGCGGAGGTTACAGTGAGCCGAGATCAGGCCACGGCACTCCAGCCTGGCGCCTGGTGACAGAGCGAGACTGTCTCAAATATAAAAATTTAAAAAGAATTACATGTATATTTATTTATTTATTTTATTTTATTTTATTTTTATTTTTATTTTTTTTGAGACAGAGTTTCGCTCTTGTTACTCAGGCTGGAGTGCAATGGCACGGTCTCGGCTCACCGCAACCTCCGCTTCCTGGGTTCAAGCAATTCTCCTGCCTCAGCCTCCTGAGTAGCTGGGATTACAGGCACGCGCCACCATGCCCAGCTAATTTTTTGTATTTTTAGTAGAGACGGGGTTTCACCATGTTGACCAGGATGGTCTCGATCTCTTGACCTCGTGATCCACCTGCCTTGGCCTCCCAAAGTGCTGGGATTACAGGCTTGAGCCACCGCGCCCGGCAAGAATTACATGTATATTTAAATGTTTTTTCTCTATCAAGTTTATAAAGAGTAAAAAGAATGATAATATTTTTAATTATCAAAACTATCAAGACTACAATAAAAAGGGCATTGTCATAATTTTAATGGGAGTTAAAAATCATGAACTTTTCCCTGTATTTTTTTTTATGTACCCCAAGTGTTTTGGTTTATATCTATTAAAAGGTTTTTTAATCCACAGCAATTGCTGTACTCAAAAATTTGCACCGACTTTTTCATAAGTCATAACTGAATTGTTAGTAGGAGCACATAGATGAAATACTTCACAGAGTAAGATTTCTGTTTTTTATTTCGTTTTAAACAGATCTCCCACAAACAAATTTCCGTCGTTTACCTTTTGACCACTGCAGGTAAGAGTTTTGCAAGTTTACTGTTCCTTGTAATTGTTCTCTGATACTGATAGTGAATCTGCCCCCTGAGGATGTAGATGACATGCTATCTGTGACCCCACATGGGTCCTCCCTGAATGGGGAGAAGGAGAACCCACCCGTGATGATGGCTAGTGGGTGTTTTCTGTTTATTGTGTCTATATTTACATGCTGTATCTTTTTTTTCCTTTTCAGTCATCTTGAATACATCCTGTATCTTTTTAGCCTCATTCTTACCTTTCAGGGTGTGTAGACTCTGGTGTTAAGCCTGTTTCATGGTTGGAGAACCATTGTTTAGAAGAGCGAAGTACCTTGCCCAGGTGTGCCATGCAGGAAGTGGTACCTCTGAGTCTTGAACTCAGTCTGACAGTGGGTCCATGCCTTTAATGCTTTACTTTTTTTTTTTTTTTTGAGAGAGAGAGTCTCTTGCTCTGTTGCCTATGCTGGCAGGCAGTGATGTGATCTTGGCTCACTGCAATCTCCACCTCCTGTGTTTGAGCAATTCCCATGCCTCAGCCACCTGAATAGCTGGGATTATAGGCATGTACCACCACACCTGGCTAATTTTTGTATTTTTAGTAAAGATAGGGGTTACACCATATTGGCCAGGCTGGTCTCGAACTCTGACCTCAGGTGATCACCCACCTCGGTCTCCCAAGTGTTGGGACTACAGGCGTGAGCCACCATGCCTGGCCAGTGCTTTGCTCTTGCTCCAGGTTCTCTGCAGTCATAGCAGCAGCATATTAGTGATGAGACCGTGAGGTTCTTTTCTTTTGAGATGGAGTCTCACTCTGTTACCAGGCTGGAGTGCAGTGGCGTGATCTTGGCTCACTGCAACCTCCGTCTCCCAGGTTCAAGTGATTCTCCTGGCCTCAGCCTCCTGAGTAGCTGGGACTACAGGGGTGTGCCACCATGCCCAGCTAATTTTTGTATTTTTAGTAGAGACGGGGTTTCACCGTGTTGGCCCAGATGGTCTTGAGCTCTTGACCTCGTGGTCCTCCTGCCTTGGCCTCCTAAAGTGCTGGCATTACAGGTGTGAGCCACTGTGTCCGGCCTAGGCCTTTTCCCCCTCACCTGTGAGGTTGGGTCACTGGTAGGGCCGAGTAGGGACCCAGGCGCAGAGCTACTCAGATGCTGCTTTGGCCCAAATTGGTATACATATGAACAGAAGGGGGCCTGTTGGAGAAGTGGGCCTAGCCCTGGTGAACCCCAAGATGTTGCTCCTCCCAGGGCGAGGGAGACTGTGGGAATGGACAGATCTGGTGGGCCTCTTAGGCCTGAGTCTTCCCAAACCTGAGCCGTAGTCACATCTGCCCCGGACACCTGTATGTCTACATAGCATCCTCCTTTATGCCTCGAGTTCTGCTTCTGTAGGTCAGGGTGAGCCTTGAGAGTTGACAAGTTCTCCTGGGGATCTGGCACCCCAGTTGAGGCAGGTCAGCCAGACACCATTGCAGCAGGAAAGGGGCCATGGGGACCATGCACCGTATAGCAAGGCCTGGGGGGACCCTCAGGAGGCTCCCCCACATTGGCTGATGGGGTTTTTTTCCCACTCATCAGTGGACAAATGAGGCCCAGGTATCACTGGCTAGGATTTCTGTCCCCAGCCCAGGTTTTGTCGTCAGCCTCATGGGAATGTGGTCTTACTCAGAGTGGGTGTGAATTGAGGTGGCAAAAGTGCTTCCATCCTTGGGTCCAGTTCTTCCAGCAGGTGTCTGAGTTGCATTTTAACTGCCTGGGGTTATGAGTAAAAGTGTGCCTTGAAGATCTGGCCCTTCAGGTCATGTTGGGAGAAAACGCAGAGTCTTGTCACGATGTCAGGAGCTTGCCTGTTGGATCCTGCTCTGGTCCTTCACCAGGGGTGGCACCACCACTATTGCAGTTGGGGGAGAAGGTTGGTGAGAGAGGGAAGTGGCCAGGCTGCCCAGAGAGGGCTCCCTGGGACAGCATCTCAGGAGGTCCCCATGCCAGGCTCAGCCAGCCCACAGCCTGACCCAGGGTGCTGGACAGCTGACCAGGAATGACTCTTCTTTTTCAGTCTCTCTCTGCAGCCTTTTGTCTACCCAGTCTGCACTCCTGATGGCGTCGTCTTTGACTTGCTGTGAGTTTTTCCTTGAATTTTGGTTTAACAAATGTGAGATTCTCAGCATCCATTAAGGAAGGAGATGTTGGGCCAGCTTGGGGGTTTATGGTCTTGGGCAGTGCCAAGTCAGGCAGCACTGAGGTTGCCAGACCCCTGGTCCCAACAGCCTTGGGACCCTTGGGTAGGCCTGTTGGGGACAGAGAGGTAACAGCTAGGGCCTTGGGGACATGGCAGCAGTGTGGCCGTGACCCCAAGGCAGGCAGCTCTGGTTGGCAGGTGCTGCTGTCACTGCTTGGAATGGGGTACACTACCCTACACCCTTCCACGTGGGAGTCCTGGTGTTCTAATTGGACACGCCTGTTTTCAAATGGTAATGAACTGCATATTTTTCACTTTATGAAAGCAGAACCATAATTGTGGTGTTTACTTCTTGAGTGCAGTATTTGGAAGCATTATACCCAGTTTTGCATTCCAGCATACACTTCTGTAATTTTTCTGTTTCAGGCTCATTTTCTAAAAATTAAAAACAAAAGTTTTTTTTAAGAGATGTGTCGGTTGGGTGCGGTGACTCATGTCTGTAATCTCAGCACATTGGGAGGCCGAGGTGGGAGGATCACTTGAGGTCAGGAGTTCAAGACCAGCCTTACCAACATAGTGAAACCCTGTCTCTACTTAAAAAAAAAAAAAAAAAAAAAAAAAAAAAAGGGCCAGGTCAGGAGATCGAGACCATCCTGGCCAACATGGTGAAATCCTGTCTCTACTAAAAATACAAAAAAATTAGCTGGGTATGGTAGCACATGTCTGTAGTCCCAGCTACTTGGGAGGCTGAGGCAGGAGAATTGCTTGAACCTGGGAGACGGAGATTGCAGTGAGCCTAGATTGCACCACTGCACTACAGCCTGGGCAAAAAAAAAGAAAAATTATAAAAAAAGAAATATAAAACTTAGCTGGGCATGGTGGCATGCGCCTGTAATTCCAGCTACTTGGGAGACTGAAACCAGAGAATCGCTTGAACTGAACCCGGGAGGTGGAGGTTAAAGCGAACTGAGATCGTGTGCCACTGTACTCCAGCCTGGGCAACAGAGCAAGACTCTTTCCGCTGCGACTCCCCCCACCCAAGAAAAAGAGATATATCTCACTTTGATGCCTAGGCTAGAGTGCAGTGGTGCAGTCATGGCTTACTGCAGCCTCCAACCCCTGGGCTCAAGTGATTGATCCTTTGCCTCAGCCTTCTGAGTAGATGTTGACTATAGGCACACACCATCACGCCCAGCTAATTTATTTATTTATTTTTCATTTGCTTGAGACAGAGTCTTACTCTGTTGCTCAGGCTGGAGTGCAGTGATGTGAATTCTGCTCATGCAGCCTCTGCTTCCCGGGCTCAAGTGATTCTCCTGCCTCAGCCTCACAAGTAGCTGGGACTACAGGTGCATGCCACCACACCCAGCTAATTTTTGTATTTTTAGTAGAGATGGGGTTTCACCATGTTGGCCAGGATGGTCTCAATCTCCTGACCTCGTGATCAGCCTACCACGGACTCCTAAAATGATGGGATTACAGGCGTGAGCCACCACACCTGGTCTAATTTTTAAAAATGTTTAGTAGAGGCAGGGTCTTGCTATGTTGCCCAGTCCGGTCTTGATCTCCTGGCCTCAAGTGCTCCTCCTGCCTTGGCCTCCCAAAGTGCTGGGATTACAGGCATGAGTCACTGCACTTGGCCTGAAAATGAATTTTTAGGAAATTTCAGCCTAACTTTAGGAAAAGAAAAATTTACCACAGCCCCACTATCCAGGATAACTACTGTAAATACACTAATTTTTTGTGAACTTAATTGTAACATGATTGAAGTAACACTGTAAACATGGTGAAGTGTTAACAAGCAACATTGTGGATCTATCTATTCAATTTGTTATGTTGAGAGCTTTTTTCCCTGTGTGATTCTCTGAAAGTATACTTTTTCTTATTTGAGACAGGGTCTCACTGTGTTGCCCAGGCTGGTCTTGAACTCCTGGGCCGCAGTAATCCTTCCACCTCAGCCTCCTAAGTAGCTGAGATTTCAGGCACACACCACCGTGCCTGGCTTGGAAGTGTAATTTTTGATACTAGCCTAGCATTTCATTTTACAGATGTATCAACATTTGTGACACGGAGTGGTGGCTCATGTCTGTAGTCCTAGCACTTTGGGAGGCTGAGCAGGAGCAGCTCTTGAACCCAGGAGTCTGAGACCAGTCTGGGCAACACAGAACCATGCCAGCCATGGGGGTGTGAATCTGTAGTCCCAGCAACTTGGAAGGCTGAGACGGGAGGATCGCTTGAGCCCAGGGATTGGCAGCTTCAGTGAGACATGATCGAAACGCTGCACTCCAGCCTGAATGACAAGGTGAAACCTTGTCTCAAAGAAAAAAAACCCCAAACCATTTACTTACTCATTTCATCTGTAGTTTTTGTTGTTTATCTATAACTGCAATGGTAACTCTGAACATATTTTGAAACCCATGTATCCACAAATATCCCCCCACTTCCTGAGACAAGGTGAGGAGTCTTCCTCTCCTAAAGTGAAGCGAGACTCCTTCACAGGCCTCTAACCTGGAATAGCCCTGCAAGACTCTAGTGTTGTTACCAGGTGGCGCCTAAGCACCCTGGTGATGCTTTCTGTTCCTTCTTCCCTTCAGGAACATTGTTCCATGGCTTAAGAAGTACGGGACCAACCCCAGCAATGGAGAGGTAGGTGGCTGTGCAGGAGTTTCAGTGATGGTGGTGAACGCCATCCTCTCGCCTCTCCTGTTCTGGTGGTTTTCATGAACGCAGGAACATGGGAGAGAAGCATTCATGGGGCCCAGTGAGAAGAAACAGTCTTCCCCTCCTCTCCCCACACCCATTCCTTTCCGTAAACGCTTCCTGCCTGTGCACATATGTATATGTGCATATCTTTTCTCAGGCCATAGCCGTGATCCAGTATGACCTCATCTTACTGTATCTGCAGAGACGTTGTATCCAAGTAAGGCCACAGTTGTAGTGAGCATCAGTTTTGGGGGAACATTATTTGGCTTGGTCTTGAAGGAGAGCCCGTGTATTGTACCAGTGACCTTGCCCTTCCTGTTGGAGTTCCTTGCATTTATTCCTCTGCCTTTTTCCTGTGGCCTGGGGCAAGAGCTCAAACTGTGCAAATGAGGTGGAGGGTCAGGACTCCAGCAGGTTCCCTGTGCTGGATCCACTGGGAGGGAGTTCCCTGGACAATATGCCCCTCCCTGCCAGGCCAGTAGGAGAAGCTGGCAGCCCATCTGTGCTGTCTCAGCTCTTCTGACCCTTGTGACTTTCTGGGGGCTGCAGGGTTCTGTGGACTCTTTCTAGATGGAGTTGGTGCTCCTCCAAGGCTTTCCTGCTCTTGAAAACAAGGGAACTTGGCCAGGGGGCTGATTTTGAGTGTCCTTGGACCAGCTGCTAAAGCCTATGGCTTTTCTCTTTCAGATGCTTGGGTAGGGGGCTTGTAGGGGCTTGTGGCCTCACCTCCTTAGGGAGGGCAGTCTTCTTCCTTGGCCTTTGTCACTTAAAGGCTGTGTTTCTGTGGCTCATGCCTGTAATCCCAGCACTTTGGGAGGCCGAGGTGGGCAGATCTCAAGGTCAGGACAGGAGATCAAGACCATCCTGGCCAACATGGTGAAACCCCATCTCTACTAAAAGTACAAAAAAATTAGCTGGGCATGGTGGCGCACGCCTATTGTTCTAGCTACTCGGGAGGCTGAAGCAGGAGAATTGCTTGAACCTAGGAGGCGGAGGTTGCGGTGAGCCGAGATCACCCCACTGCTCTCCAGCCTGGGTGACAGTGCAAGACGACTCCGTCTCAAAAAAAAAAGACTGTTTCTGTGACGTCTGCTGCTGGAGCCACATTGGATTCCAGGGGCTTCCCCCAGGGTCCATGCCCCAGTCTGGAAAGTCATCCTCTGTGTCTCTTCTCAGCAGGAGTCCCTGCTGCCTGCCTATGCCCTGTGTGGCTGGGTGTCTGCCTCAGGGAGCAGCCTGGTGGCGAGGTAGGGTAGGTGGGGTTTTCCTGTCCCCAGCTACCCTCATGGCCTCTGCTGTTGGTGGATGTTGTTTATTCAGTTGCAGCTGGGGTGCATTTTGTTACTTTGGGTGTTTTGTTTCAAAGGTGCTCTTTGGGGTTCCCAAACTTGTTGATTGTGCTGGGCCCCACACCCACAAAACCTGATCTGGCAGTTAGCCACGCTGTGAGGCATCGCCATTTCTTTGTTCTAGGCGTCATATTGGGGTGAGTCTGCAGGGGCGCCCCATGTGTCCTTATCCTGTGCCTGTGCCTCTCCCCTGGCGTGCTCTGGAAGGGGTTTTGCTGTGGGCTTGCTTGGACAGACCTGTGGGCATCAGTAGAGACTTGCTAGCCAAACCTCTGAGAAGAGTCCCTGGGCCAAGGGCTGGTTGGCCCATGTAACTTTTGGGGGCTCAGAAGGAGCCTGTTTTGTGTGTTGGGAGGTCTCTGCTCAGGTCCTATTCCTGAATAGGGACCATGCTGGTCCTCTGCTGGTCTCTTCCTTACCTATAGTGATGTAGAAAGGTGGGGGTAGTTAAATGACAAAGGAAGGAACGAAGGTGGTAGAGGAGCAGATGTGGTCAGTTAGGCTGGCCAGCAGCAGGTAGGACCCATGGAGGGCAGGGATGCTCCTCCTGCATCTCCCCTGGGCCTGGGTAGGCAGAGCTGGGCCCAGCCCACACCAGCTAGCAGCTGCTGCTGGGATGTGGCCCCCAGTGAGGTGCTCCCGAGTGACACATAGCTCTGACAGCCCCGCCCCCGGCAGTTCCTGCCTCTGATTGTCCAGATTTTGTTTTATGGGAAAGTTTGCTGTAGAAGAGCTGAACTGCAGACAAACCGCAGAAACTGAAAACGTGACCCGCCACCAGGAGTGGGGGAAATAAGAAAAAAGAAGAAACAGAAACAGAAAAATAGAGGGTCCCACCGTCCCACCACAACCACTCTTAGCATTGGGGTGCAGTTCTTCCCTTTCTCCCCACTTTTAATGTTTTTTTTTTTCTTAAATATTCATATGACAGAATAATAAGGCAGACCTGTGTGTTGCCCCACTAGCTGAAGAAATACATTCTTTTTTTTCTTTGAGACAGAGACTCACTCTGTTGCCTGACTGGAGGGCAGTGGCGTGATCTCAACTCACTGCAATCTCCGCCTCTTGGGTTCAAGCAATTCTGTCTCAGTCTCCCTGGTAGCTGGGACTTCAGGCACCCGCCACCATGCCCAGCTATGTTTTGTGTATTTACTAGAGACGGGGTTTCACTGTGTTGGCCAAGGTGGTCTCAATCTCTTGACTTTGTCATCTTCCCGCCTTGGCTTCCCAGAGTGCTGGGATTATAGGCATGAGCCACTGCGCCTGGTAAAATATGTTTGTTTTTTAATTTTAGAAGTGGTCTGTGCTCACCATAAAAATGTCCAAACCCTGCAGAACTGTACCACCACCCAGTGGCCTGGTCTTTCAGCTCGGAATCACCCGTGATGGCTCTTCTCAGAGAATGGTGGGGGTGCCACATGAACACAACCACCTGGTGCCATCCTGCAGCCCCCATGAGGTCCTTGCAGGGTCTTGGGGCCTTCCCTTTTGTCCAGAGCTGCCCAGTCGGCTGGTCAGAGACCTTTTCAGCCTGTCTCTGTCTGACCCCAGTATCTCTGTGCATCAGTGACTTATTCATTATCATTAATTATTAACTCTGCTTCTTCCAGAAGCTGGACGGGAGGTCCCTGATCAAGCTGAACTTTGCCAAGAACAGTGAGGGTGAGTGGAACCTTTGGGGCCAACTCTAGGCTTGGCTTGCTGACCCAGGCTCCTGGCTCTCACCAGGTCTCATATGGAGTCAGTCATTCCTTCTGACCAAGCTGGAGACCTGCTTTTAGTCCTCAAAAGGTGTCACAGGATTTCTTCTCAAAGGTTTGTGTGGTTTTAGGCTGGGGATGAGAGGGGGCAGAACCTTGGGTGTTGGGAACTTCCCACAAAGGTGATTGGGCCGTTGTGAGCTGCCTGTGGCCTTCATGGGCACAGTCAGAGCTGGAGGGCATGGGTCCCCACTGGCTGAGGCTGTGGTCTCTTTGCTGTTGGAGGCAGAAGTTGCTCTGCGCTGGGAACCAGGGTGGCAGTTGGGGAGGGGATGTGGAGGGTCTGGAGGGATTGGTTGGGTAGCTCTTGGGCTGGGCATTTCCTCACCACAGCTCATAGGGCCTAGCCCAGCCCAGCCCAGCAGCTCCTGCTTCATGTCCCTTACATACCCTCCACTGCTCTTGTCAGATGCTTGAGTGAGGTGTGCAGCTCACCCCTGCCCAGATGCTGACCTTGTCCTGGGTTCTAGCGCAGGTCCTCTGCCCCTGCAGATCCCATGGTTTAGGGGTTGTCCATGCTCACTGGGTGCATGCATTCCAGGGAGATGCTGTAGCCCGTGAGGCCATGGCCCTTTTGCCCCACTTGTCCGAGCCCAGAGCCTGGTCCCTAGCTGGTGCAGTATTCGCAGGTAAATGAATGGGTGAACTTCAGCATGTCATTGACAAAGGTGGAGGACAGGGAGCTGCACCCTGGTGGCCGAGGGTGGGCTGCCTCCCTGTCTGTGATCAGCAATGTGTGTCTCTCATTCAGCAAATATTTACTGAGTGCCTGCCGTGTGCAGAGAGCACAGCAGGCTGCGTCTTTCCTGAAAGGAGCATGTGTTCTGGTGGGGAAGAACATCAGAGAGCAGCGCAGCAGGGTGTGCCAGAGGCTGCTTCTGTGTGGAGAGCACAGCAAGGAGAGAGCTGCCCTGACACACCGCGGGGAGGGAGAGCCATCAGGGGCTCGAGGGAGCGCAGGGCCGGGCCGACGGCACAGCCAGTGCAAAGACCCGGAGGTGGGCACACGCTTGAGGGTGTCTGTGCCCAGCCAGGAGTCCAGTGTGTCTGGTACAGCATGTGCCAGCGATGGAGCAGGGGATGTGACAGGTTGGGGCGGGGACAGGTGCAGAGCAGTCCTGTGGGCCCTGGGAGCCACAGGAGGCCTTGGGCTTCTGCCCAGGGTGGGAGCTACTGAGGGAGGGATGAGGTCCGGCTTTTTTTTTTTTTAAACTTTGACATGGCAATTAGCTTCTTTTCTTTTGTTTCCTTTTTTTGGGGAAATGGGGTCTCTGTCATCCAAGCTGGAATGCAGTGGCACAGTCTCAGCTTACTGCAACCTCTGCCACTTGGGCTCAAGAGATCCTCCCACCTCAGCCTCCCAAGTAGCTGGGACTACAGGTACCACCACCGCATCCAGCTAATTTGTGTGTTTTTTCTAGAGACAGGGTTTTACTATGTTGGCCAAGTTTACTTCTGGGTTCAAGCAGTCCACCCACCTCAGCCTCTCAAATAGTGGGATTAGCGGCCGGGCGCGGTGGCTCAAGCCTGTAATCCCAGCACTTTGGGAGGCCGAGACGGGTGGATCACGAGGTCAAGAGATCGAGACCATCCTGGTCAACATGGTGAAACCCCATCTCTACTAAAAATACAAAAAAAATCATCTGGGCATGGTGGTGCGTGCCTGTAATCCCAGCTACTCAGGAGGCTGAGGCAGGAGAATTGCCCAAACCCAGGAGGCGGAGGTTGCAGTGAGCCGAGATCGCGCCATTGCACCCCAGCCTGGGTAACAAGAGCGAAACTGTCTCAAAAAAAGAAAAAAAAATGCTGGATTACCGGCCAGTCTGCTTTGTTTCTTTGTTAATTGGAATTATTCCCTGTGGATGAAAGTGGAGAGAGGAAGTGTGATGTGTCTCCCCTGTGCCCATCACAGACTCCAGCCCCGCCCCAGCTAATTTTTTTAATTCTCATTTTTGTAGAGATGAGGTCTCCCTAAGGGCTCAAGTCTCCACTGGGTGGGGACTTACAGTAGCCAAGAGAGACAGTAGCCAAGGCTTGGGAGGCCAAGGTGGGCAGATGGCTTGAGGTCAGGAGTTTCAGACCCGTCTGACCAGTAGAGACCAGTGAAACCCTGTCTCTACTAAAAATACAAAAATTAGCCATACATGGTGTTGCATGCATGCCTGTAGTCCCAGCTACTTGGGAGTCTGAGGCAGGAGAATCGCTTAAACCCCTGAGGCAAAGGTTGCAGTGATGTGAGATCACACCACTGCACTCCAACCTAGGTGACAGAGCAAGACTCCATCTCAAAACAGGACAAAACAAAACAAAAAAGACAGTAGCTAGGCAAGGGGATGGGCGGTTCTGAAGGAAGATCTAAGCAGGGGGTTGGCAGGGAATGTGGGAGAGAGGTGGAGCCGTCAGGACTGGAGCATGGGTTGTTTCTTGCTGAGGGCCAACTTCAAGAAGCGGAGGAGACTAGCATGGCGGTCAGCAGAGGTGTGCTGGAGAATGTGAGGAAGATGATGCAGGGACTGGGTCTTGCAGGTTGAATAGGAGTTTCCTAATGGCATGGAGGGGCTTGAGGGGCTAAGCAGCTGTCCCCTTGGTTCCCTGCTCTGGCAGTTGACAGGGTTCCACCTCCTCCCATCGCTGACTTTGGCTGCGTTCTGTCTTGTCCTGTCCTGGCCCCCAGCACCCACAGAGGTGACTGGCCTCCCCATGTGTGCCTTCTCTCTAGGGAAGTACCACTGCCCAGTGTTGTTCACCGTGTTCACCAATAACACCCACATTGTGGCTGTGAGGACAACCGGCAATGTCTACGCCTACGAGGTGTGTCCTTGCTCCCTGGCCTGGTGACTGTGGTGGGGAGATCTCTGCTATGTGTTCCCAGGATATATCAGCTGTGCTGTGCTGTGGGCATGGCCCGTCTTTGTGAGGTTTACAGTCACAGCCACAGGCACGGGCCTCTGCCAAAGCTCTGGCATGGCAGCCTCCCCGATTTCAGGCAGGTCAAGAATAGGGTTGGGGGAGGTACATCCTTTAGAATCAGGCAGTCCTGGCTGGCGACCAGAGACCCTTATCCCGCAGGGGGTCCTTCCACACCTTCAGCAAAGCCCAGGTGCTGGGAAGGCACCGTGCTCTGAGGACGGTGTGAGAGGAGTGCTGGCCCTGGCTCTGGATGGAGCCAGTTGTCCCTGGGAGGGAGCCGTCCCCTGGAGGAGTTCCGGTTGGGAGTGGGTGTAGGAAGAGAGGAGGCAGCCATGTTCACGCGCGGGTCCTCCTCTCAGGGGTGAGGCGGGACAGGCCCTACAGGGCAGGAAAGCCGACCTTTGTGCCATTTTTAATCTTGTACCAGGACATTGGTGGGGTGTAGTTGGCCCTCGCTGCTCCAGGGACCTTAGGGGCTACTTCTTGCCAGAAGCCTGCACAGACTGGCATGGTCGGTCCTCATTAGTGGATCGAGGACTCTGCTAGACTGTGCCCCAGGAGCGCAGGCATCTCATGTGCACAGCCCCTGCCCACGGGCCTGGCACATGCCCGTGCATGGGAGGTAGTCGGTGAAGGCTGCGGTGAGTGGGTCGGTGGCTCACCCAGCCACTTTGCTGATCAATATGCAGACAAGAGCTTCCTGCAGGAAGGTTGCTGCAAGGCTGAACTGGCACATCGTCTGATGCCCAGCCAGCTCCACCTTTGTGGGGCCACTGCTTTCAGCCAGTGGGTGTACACTGCTGTCTCTCTCGTTCCTCACCTCTCAAATGGTGCCATGGTGCCAGTTCCAGGCCTCCCTGCTTGCAGGCTCCTGTGCCAAGGCTTGGGGCAGGCATCGTAACACCACTTCTTCCTGGCTGTAGGCAGTGGAACAGCTAAATATCAAGGCCAAGAATTTCCGGGACCTGCTGAGCGATGAGCCCTTCTCCCGGCAGGACATCATCACCCTCCAGGTGAGTGTCCCCTGCCCGCCTGCCCCAGCTGCCTTCAGTGTCCGCAGCCAGCCCAGGCCTCTGCAGGGGCTGCCTCCTCAGCCTGGCATTCACATCTCCTCCCTGATCCCTGACCCCCATGTCAGATATCTGCCCCTCATATCTGTCCCCAAAGCCACCTGAGGCATCTGAGTGGCCATTCTGCTGGCCCAGTTCTGCTCCAGTGCCTTGAGGGCTTGAACTGTGGTGAGCTCTGGGCCTCGGTGTCTGGCACAGACCTCCCTGCAGATGTCAGAGAACCCCAAGTGAATTAATGAAAAACACAACTTAGAAAAAAGCAGGCGATGGCTGGAGCACGGCCTGGGGCAGCCTGCTCAGTCAGTCACCTCTGTGGCTTGTCCCATTCTAACCAGACGTCAGCCCCACGGCTGCCCATGTTCTCATCCAGTAGCTTCCTAACAGCGACCAACAGCTTGTTAGAGTGTGCCTGGAGGAAGGTCGCAGCTTGGCCAGCACCTATCGAGGCTGTGCCCCATCCCTGCTCCTGCTTGCTGCCCTGCCTGGGACAGACCACCATCCTCCCCCATGCCCTGCTTGACTCCCCCCACCTCTGACACCTGCCCGTCTTTTGCTACATGTGGCTGCCATTTGGCTGCAGGCTGGGTTCACTCTTCTGGGTGTTCTGTCTTTGCTACAGGATCCCACCAACCTGGACAAGTTCAATGTCTCTAACTTCTATCATGTTAAGAATAACATGAAAATAATAGACCCAGGTATGTACAACCAGGGGCTGGGCTAGGTGAGGAGGAGTTTGGGGGAAATTGGGACAGTGTTCCCTGGGCAAAGCCCCCGGCTTCCTGGGGGTCAGGGCTTTCAGCCCAGATAAACCCTGCATTTTCTAAGCCACTGTTGAGAGAATCCGAGTCAACTGCAGCCTCAGAAACGACATGTGGGGTAGACTTGCTGCCCTGCCAGGATGCCTGCTGAGGGTCCCCTGCTTTCTGCACTGTCTGGTGCCTCCAGTGGGCAGGTGGTGGGGTGACAGGGACCTCCTGTTTTCCTAGCCACTGGTGGCTGTCCTGTAGCCTCGGAGGAGCCAGCAGGACTCATGCTCAGAGGTCACTTGGCCTGGTGCTGCAGAGCAGTGGCCTGGGTATTTGATGAGAGTCGTGTGAACTGGGTTTTAGGGAGGCTGAGCACATGACTGGGGGAGATTGACTCAGAAGAGTCTGAGGCCAGGGTTTGGGGCTGGGCTGGGCCTGCGTTCTCCAGACAGGAGTGCCTGACCCTCTCCACAGAGCGGGCTGCTGTCCAAGGCCCAGTAGGCAAGAGGCACCTTCTTGAGAGGGCAAGAACGGGGCATTTCACATCTGAAAAGACCCACAAACACTTCTTTTGTTTTAATTAAAAAATAACTTTTTTGCCGGGCGCGGTGGCTCAAGCCTGTAATCCCAGCACTTTGGGAGGCCGAGGCGGGTGGATCACGAGGTCAACAGATCGAGACCATCCTGGTCAACACGGTGAAACCCCGTCTCTACTAAAAATACAAAAAATTAGCTGGGCATGGTGGCGCGTGCCTATAATCCCAGCTACTCAGGAGGCTGAAGCAGGAGAATTGCCTGAACTCAGGAGGCGGAGGTTGCGGTGAGCCGAGATCGCACCATTGCACTCCAGCCTGGGTAACAAGAGCGAAACTCCATCTCAAAAAAAAAAAAAAAAAAAAAAAAAAAATTTTTTTTTTTTTTTTTTCAGACAGTCTTGCTCTGTCGCCCAAGCTGGAGTGCAGTGGTGCAATCTTGGCTCACTGCAACCTCTGCCTCCCTGGTTCAAATGATTCTCCTGCCTTACCTTCCCAAGAAGCTGGGACTAAAGGCAGGTGCCACCAGACCTGGCTCTTTTTTTGTATTTTTAGCAGAGACAGGGTTTCACCATGTTAGCCAGGCTAGTTTAGATCTCCTGACGGTGATCTGCCTGCCTCAACCTCCCAAAGTGTTGGGAATACTGGTGTGAGCCACTGCGCCTGGCCCCAAAATGTCTTTTAAAATTACAGAAGCAGGCCGGGCTCGGTGGCTCAAGCCTGTAATCCCAGCACTTTGGGAGGCCGAGGCGGGTGGATCACAAGGTCAAGAGATCGAGACCATCCCGGTCAACATGGTGAAACCCCGTCTCTACTAAAAATACAAAAAAATTAGCTGGGCATGGTGGTGTGTGCCTGTAATCCCAGCTACTCAGGAGGCTGAGGCAGGAGAATTGCCTGAACCCAGGAGGCGGAGGTTGTGGTGAGCCGAGATCGCGCCATTGCACTCCAGCCTGGGTAACAAGAGCGAAACTCCGTCTCAAAAAAAAAAAAAAAAAAAAAATTTACAGAAGCAAAGCAGGTGGGTGCTATGGCTCACGCCTGTAATCCCAGCACTTTGGGAGGCCAAAGCAGGTGGATCGCTTGAGTTCAAGATTTTGAGACCAGCCTGGGCAACATGGGGAAACTCTTGTCTCTACAAAAAATAGAAAAATTAGCTGGTTGTGGTTGGCACAGGCCTGTAGCCTCAGCTACTCGGGGGGCTGAGGCAGGGGAGTCACTTGAGCCCAGGAGGTGGAGGCTGCAGTGAGCTGAAATCTTGTAACTGCATATCCAGCCTGGGCGACAGAGCCACACCCTGTCTCAAAAAAACAAAGAAAAGCATGTACTCTTAAAAATATTAGAATATATAGATAAATATAAAAAGGAAACTTCAAATCAGCCTCAAGTACATTCTGAGACTCTTGTGAACTGCGTGGGGTTCAGGCCTGTATCTAGTACCTTGGCATTCTGTGGCTGACAGTGGCACGGGGCCCATGCTGTGGCTGGTGAGCCCTGGCCTGTTCTGGATCTGTGTCCCCAGCACATGCGTGTGGGGAGGCTGCTGGGGGCCTGGCTGCTCAGGGCCATGCTACTGTTTTGTAGATGAGGAGAAGGCCAAACAGGACCCATCTTATTATCTGAAAAACACAAATGCTGAGACCCGAGAGACCCTGCAGGAGCTCTATAAGGAATTCAAAGGGGATGAGATTCTGGCAGCCACCATGAAGGTCCCGGAGAAGAAGAAAGTGGACAAGCTGAATGCTGTGAGTGGCACAGGGCACTCGGCCAAGCCCTTTTCTCCCTGCTCGTCTCATTGCCTCTTGGAGTGGTCCTGGGAACGGGGCTTATGGGGCCCTGGGGTAAATGGCAGGGAGGCAGCCAGGATCCTCCCAGAGCTGTGGTACCACTGATGGCACTGAGTGTACAGTCCTGGGGCTGCCTCAAGGAGGGTTGAATCTGAGAAGGCGGCCGGGGAGCGGCTGACGTCCATACTGGGCATTGAAGAACCAAGGGGTGTGTGGGGGCACACAGGAGAGAAGCCCCTGCCACAGAAGGTCTGCCTTGTGCTGTGGTCCCAGTCTGAGCTCAGCAGCCAGAGCAGGCACGTTGAGTGGACACATGGTTCTGTGGAGGCTGGGAGGGCAGGGCCCAATGTGCACTGGGGCCCAAAGCCATGCCAGGGACAGTTGGGGCATTTCAGGGACTGCTGCAGTCCTGAGGGGGACAGCATGCCTGGGACCTCACAGTGCTGCCTGGATGGGGCTGTCGTGTTCGCTTCTTGCTTCTGTTTAGGCAGAGCGTGGGTATCTGGAGCTGGCGAGTGCAGAGACATGGGCAGGTGGCTCTGAAGTTCTCCTTCTTAAAGAATTCAAATTCTGGAAAAATTTGAAAAAGTTTGTTGTATGTGATCACCCCCTCTCACGCACTGCCCTTAGCACTTTGGCATATTACCTTTTTTTTTTCTTTTTCTTTTTTTTGAGACAGGATCTTGCTGTGTTGCCTAAGCTGGTCTTGAATTCCTAGCTTCACCTGAGATCCTCCTGCCTGGGCCTCCCAAAGTGCTGGGATTATAGGTGTGAGCCACTGTGCCTGGCTTGTATTTTCTTCTGATGGAAGAAACCCCCTTTTCTTCCTCTGTGATTAAAAAAATAACGTTTATTGGGACTTTACCCTCCACCCCTGATTAAATATGTAATATGTTTACTTCAGAAAGTTTGAGACTTTTTTTTTTTTTTTTTTGAGACAGAGTTTCGCTCTTGTTACCCAGGCTGGAGTGCAATGGCGCGATCTCGGCTCACCGCAACCTCCGCCTCCTGGGTTCAGGCAATTCTCCTGCCTCAGTCTCCTGAGTAGCTGGGATTACAGGCACGTGCCACCATGCCTAGCTGCTTTTTTGTATTTTTAATAGAGACGGGGTTTCACCATGTTGACCAGGATGGTCTCGATCTCTTGACCTCGTGATCCACCCGCCTTGGCCTCCCAAAGTGCTGGGATTACAGGTGTGAGCCACCGCGCCCGGCAGTTTGAGACTTTTAAAAAGAAGTTAGGCCAGGCCAGGTGCGGTGGCTCACGCCTGTAATCCTAGCACTTTGGGAGGCCGAGGTGGGCGGGTCGCCTGAGGTTGGGAGTTTAAGACCAGCCTGACCAACATGGAGAAACCCTGCGGAAAATACAAAATTAGCAGGGCGTGGTGGCACATGCCTGTAATCCCAGCTACTCGGGAGGCTGAGGCAGGAGAGTCACTTAAACCTGGGAGGCAGGAGAGTCACTTAAACCTGGGAGGCAGAGGTTGCTATGAGCAGAGATGGTACCATTGCACTCCAGCCTGGGCAACAAGAGCGAAACTCTGTCTCAAAAATTAATTAGTAAATAAATAAATGAGTGAGTCCAGGCATGGTGGCTCAGGCCTATAATCCCAGTATTTTGGGAGGCTGATGCAGGAAGATTGCTTGAGGCCAGGATTTCAAGACTAGCTTGGACAACATAATGAGACCTTACCTCTACAAAAAACCCAAAAAATCAGCCAGGTGTGGTGGCACACGCCTGTCGTCCCAGTTACTCAGGAGGCTGAGGTGTAGGAGGGTCACTTGAGCCCAGGATTTGGAGGCTGCAGTGAGCCAGGATCGCACCCCTGCACTCCAGCCTGGGTACACAGCAAGACATTGTCTCATAAAAAAAAATTAAAAAGAAATGAGAAGTCACTCGTACACTCCTAACCCTGAGGTCCTGTGTGGTATTTAATCTACAGGGTTTCACTTAGATCCTAAGAGTCGGGACCCGGTTGAGGCCAGGGGTCCCTGGCTCGGCCTGTCCTTGGCTTCTTCCTCCCACCAGTTGGGGAGGCCCTCCTGGAGGAGAGGCACTCAGCAGGGCCTGGGGGGCAGGGGTGGCATGTGGTTGGCTTGTGGCAGGCACAACATCTCCGTCCACCAGCCTCCCATGGCACTGCTGAGGTGCCACCCTGTTTCCTTGGCAGGCCCACTATTCCACAGGGAAGGTCAGCGCTTCCTTCACCTCCACTGCGATGGTTCCAGAGACCACACACGAAGCAGGTAGCCACCTTTGCCTCTGTAGACACCTGCCATGTGACCTGACAGTGGCAGGGGGTGGGCACCCTCCCCTGATTCCCACTCTTTTGGCCTGTCGGGGGCTCCCACGGACACCTGAGTCTCTAGTCCTCCCCCTCTTAGCCGCTGAGCCCCTGCCAGGCCCATGAGGGTGGGGTGAGCCTGTGCATGGCCCAAGCAGAAGACTCTCCGTCTCTGGCTCCTGTGCTCTTTCCAGAGCTGGAGCCTAGTCCTCCGACAGACGCCTCTCTGTCTTTGGCCGGTGCTGCCTGGCACGGTGGGGTGCCCCCAGGGCAAGGGCAGGGACTGAGCTGGGACCTCTGCTTGTAGCTGCCATTGACGAGGATGTGCTCCGCTACCAGTTTGTGAGGAAGAAGGGCTATGTGCGGCTCCACACCAACAGGGGCGATCTCAACCTGGAGCTGCACTGCGACCTGGTGGGTATGGTGGCCCTCCTTCCCCGTGCCCTGAGGTCATTTCTGGGGTCATTTGACAGCCATGTTAAATATAGGGCTGCCACTATTATGTGCTTGTAAAAAAAAAACTGAGCCTAGCCGGGCACGGTGGCTCACGCCTGTAATCCCAGCACTTTGGGAGGCTGAGGCGGGTGGATCACGAGGTCGAGAGATCGAGACCATCCTGGTCAACATGGTGAAACCCCGTCTCTACTAAAAATAAAAAAAAATTAGCTGGGCATGTTGGCACGTGCCTGTAATTCCAGCTACTCAGGAGGCTGAGGCAGGAGAATTGCCTGAACCCAGGAGGCGGAGGTTGCGGTGAGCCGAGATCGCGCCATTGCACTCCAGCCTGGGTAACAAGAGTGAAACTCCGTCTCAAAAAAAAAAAAAAAAAAACTCAGCCTGTCGCTAGGCGGGACCCACAGCGGTGCCCTGTGTCCTTCCTAGGGGGCCGTGTTGCCCCGTGCACAGGTGCCAGTGTCCCAGAGAAGGGAGCAGTCTGCACCCGCTGCTCTGCTTGCACTTCTCCCATGCGCTCTGCTCTGGGCCATGCGGCTGCACAGGTTCTGTTGCTTGGTGTTGTGGGTCCATCCTTGCCCCGTGTGGCTGGGCAGTTGACTCTGCTGGATGTTAAAGGCCTCCTGGCTGGGCACCGTGGCTCATGCCTGTAATCCCAGCACTTTAGGAGGTCAACGTATGTGGATCACCTGAGCTTAGGAGTTTGAGGCCAGCCTGGCCAACATGGTCAAAGCCTGTCTCTACTAAAAATGCAAAAATTAACCAAGCCCGGTGGCGCACACCTGTAATCCTGGCTAGAGTGGGAGGCTGAGGCAGGAGAATCACATGAACCTAGGGTGGAGGTTGCAGTGAGCCAAGATCACACCACCAGCCTGGGTGACAAAGCAAGACTCCCTCTCAAAGAAAAAGGGCCTCCTGTGGCTGTGGTGAGCCGTCTTTGGCTGTTCTCTGCTTCATACACGTATCGGGACTATGTTGCAGACACCAAAAACCTGCGAAAACTTCATCAGGCTTTGCAAAAAGCATTATTATGATGGCACCATCTTCCACAGATCCATCCGGAACTTTGTGGTGAGTGATGCGAGTTACTGGCTGCACAGATGTGCTTGGTGGGACATCAGGGTCTGGGTAGGCTTGTCCCTCCCCTGTCCCAGGGCCCTGAGACCACAGTGGCCAGAATGAGTTCAGTCGATCCTCTGTTGCAGAATGCACAGGCTGTCTCTCCAGACCCCAACCCATCTAGAACTGGGTTCACACAGGGAGGTGGCTGGGAGGGCCCCTCGTCCTTGCCAAGAGCCCAGCTCCTGTGAGGAGCCATCTGGCAGAAGGGATCTCCTTCAGTTGGGCAGGTGGTGGGCTCGGGTCTCGTGGTGTGATTTGCGCATTGGCTTTTGTTCTCACAGATCCAAGGGGGCGACCCCACAGGCACAGGCACAGGTAGGTACTGGTGCTGGGCCCCTCTCTGGGCGTGTTGGCTGCTCCTTGGGGAATGAGGGGTGGCTGTGCAGAGCTCGGACGTGGAATCCATTAGACCTGAGTGGAACGACTGGTGGCCATCAGTGCTATGCCCTCTCAGGCCTGGCCCTTGGTTTTCTCATTTCCGGGTGGCTGTGAGGCCTGCATAGTAGGGGATGCAGGCCTGTGTGACATCCTCTCTGGGCTCCTGGGGGCCAGCCCTCCCTCCTGCAGCCTCTTCAAGCCCCTCAGCCTGCAGCTGCTTGGGCCCATGCCTGCCCATTTCTATACTCCCATAGCTCAAGTGATGATGATGGCGGCCTTGACCCTTTAATCCCTGTCCTGGGGCAGGTCCCACTCACCTGGGGTGAGCGGGCAGCAGCCTGCCTGTGTGGAGGCACGGGGGCTTCAAGGGGCCCAGGAGTCGGTGATGGGGGGCTGGGGACCACCTTATCAAGTGCCTCTGCCCCAGGCTGGTCTCAGCAAGGCCCTGATACCCCTCGGGACTCTGAGGTTTCTGGTTCTGCCTTGGCAGGGGCCCAGGCCTTCCTGTTCCTGTGAGTCTTTCTCTTCCAGGCGGGGAGTCATACTGGGGGAAGCCCTTCCAAGATGAGTTCCGGCCCAACCTCTCGCACACAGGCCGGGGCATCCTCAGCATGGCCAACTCAGGGCCCAACAGCAACAAGTCTCAATTGTGAGTTGGCCGGGCCGACTGGGGCGGCCTGGGAGGTGACCCGGTGCTCCCTGCGGGTGCTTCCTCATAGCCCTCCCTGAAGGGCGTGCTGGTTCTGAATCAAACCCAGACAGTGTACGGCACACCCAGGCCAAACACGCTCAACTGCATTCAAAAGGGGGACCCCAGAGTGAGTCAGAGCTGCCTGCAGCTGGGTGTGCCCCTCAGAGACCAGAGGTGATGAATGACTGGAGATCTAGAAGGGCCTCTTGATAGACCAAGGGTGCACATGGTGCCTGTGGCCAGGCAGTGCTGGGGGAGGTCAGCGTCCTAGAGCAGCATGTGAGAGGGATTGTACACAGGCTGGACAGGGAGAGGCAGCTGGATAGACAGGAGGTCTGGGGAGTGCATGGCCCTTGTACATGTGAGGAGCATTGTGCAGGCTGGCGGCAGGCAGCAGGGGATGGGGGTCCCACAGGGCTATGTGCACAGGGGCCAGGTGCGTGTATTGTGGAAGAGCAGAGGACCCCTTTCCATCCACCTGCCACCCAAAACAGTGGCCTGACTTTCCCTCTAGATATGTTTCGGTCTTTTAATGAGATCTCATTGTTTTTTCGCATGGGTCCCACGACTTCCGGCATACAGCGTCTTAAGGATTTTTTATGATTTGTGATACTTTTGTAAGTGGATTTTTTTCCCCCAACTTTTGGGGATCTCTGCTCATGTGGGAAAAAACTACCATTCATTTTATATCTAGCCACTTTATCAAATTCCCTTATAATTCAGATAGTTTTTATTAAGAGTTTTTTTTGGGTTTTTTAGATATTCACACTTATCAGCAAAACCTGGCCTCCTCTCTGCTTCCCTGAGGTGCACATTTGTCATGCCACTGTCACCGTGGGCCTGATGGGGAGGGGGAAGTGGGCGTTCTGCTGTGCTCTATGGGAACTGCTGTTGTGCCTTCGTTTGTTGTTGGGCTATTTTTTAGGAGGGTGGCTGACTTTCTAGAGTCTTCTTTCTTAGCATCTGTTATGATGATCCTGTGCTTTTCTGGACCTCCTGTGATTTCTGGATGTGGCCACCACAAGGCCAGAGTGGACTGGCGTTTTTGTGGCATTCTGGAGGTGAACCCTGGCCTGTCGTGGCTTCCCTGTGGCCTTCTGCCCTGTCATACGTGGTCTCGGTTGTGTGGATTGGCTCCAACAGGTTTTGCTGTGACAGATGTGGCCCCTGCATGTTGTGAGCAGGGCTGGCTGTGGCTTTGTGGTCTGGAATGGTTAAAATCACAGGGTTGGCTGGGCGTGGTGGCTCACACCTGTAATCCCAGCACTTGGGGAGGCTGAGGTAGGTGGATTGGCTGAGCCCAGGAATTCGAGACCAGCCTGGGCAACATGGCAAAACCGCATCTCTACAAAAAATTTAAGAAATTAGCAGGGCGTGGTGGCTTTCACCTGTAGTCCCAGCTACTTGGGAGGGTGAGGAGGGGAGATCATCTGAACCAGGGAAGTCAATCTGCAGTGAGCTGGGATTGCATCACTGCACTCCATTCTGGGCAGCACTGAGACCCTGTATGGGGGAAAAAAATCACACTGGAGTCAGCTGTGTTTAACAGCCAGCCAAAGGCAGCTGGCAGCCATTTGTGCCACTTCCTCGGGCTTTCGTTTCAGGGTTAAGGGGCACCTGTTTCCACAAAGTCTGGTATTCTCTTGGCCTCTCTGCTCACCTTTTGTTTCTCATTCCTAATCACGCTTTCCATTCCTCAGTCCCTTAATGATCTTTGCAGGGTTTGTCTGATTTCACTTCCTGTGTCATTATTTTCAGTTTCTGTCTTTGCTTCTTCATGGTGCTTTTCTTCCTTCTCTATTTTAATCCATGTCTGGTGCTGATGGCCACGTCTGTCATTCTGAGGGTGCATGTTTCCTCTTCACTGCTCTTGCTGGGTTTTTTTTTTTTTTTTGAGATAGAGTTTCGCTCTTGTTACCCAGGCTGGAGTGCAATGGCGCGATCTCGGCTCACCGCAACCTCCGCCTCCTGGGTTCAGGCAATTCTCCTGCCTCAGCCTCCTGAGTAGCTGGGATTACAGGCACACGCCACCATGCCCAGCTAATTTTTTTTGTATTTTAGTAGAGACGGGGTTTCACCATGTTGACCAGGATGTTCTTGATCTCTTGACCTCGTGATCCACCCGCCTCGGCCTCCCAAAGTGCTGGGATTACAGGCTTGAGCCACTGCGCCCGGCCTCTTGCTGCTTGTTGCTACTTCCCTTTCAATTTCTTTTTAGCCAAGGATTGCTTAGGACTGTCTGTTATTTTCAAGTAGGTTGGTTTTTGTTGTTTGGCAGGGGCTGGGGTTGGAGAGTCATTTCATTATTTTTCATTTTTCTTTGGCTTAACCAGCCAGTGAAACTACTGACAGATCAGTTGCCACCTTCTCTTCTTTTTTTTTTTTTTTTTTTTTTTTTTTGAGACAGTTTGACTCTGGTTGCCCAGGCTGGAGTGCAATGGTGCGATCTTGACTCACTGTAACCTCTGCCTCCCAGGTTTAAGCGATTTCCTGCCTCAACCTACTGAGTAGCTGGGATCACAGGTGCTCGCCACAATGCCTCGCTGTTATTTGTATTTTTAGTAGAGACAGGTTTTCACCATGTTGGCCAGGCTGGTCTGGAACTCCTGACCTCAGGTGATCCACCTGCCTCGGCCTCCCGGAGTACTGGCATTACTGGCATCAGCCACCGCGCCCGGCCTTCTCTTCTTATTTCTAGTATTATTTTGTGCTTTCTTGGACAACTGTTGCCAAAGGTTTGCCTGTTTACTATATTCAAAGACCATTAGATTTTAATTTCTGTTACAGCTGTTTTCCCTTCCATGATTCTTGTAATTAAAGGTTTTCCTGGAGGAGCTTGCCTCAGGATGGTTTTCTCTTCCCTCCTGAGTTTAATTCTGCTTCTAGTTTCCTTCACTGTGAAATCAGTGAGCGAGAGAACCATTTACAGGTCAGCACTCAGGTCTGCACTGCTGTGGGTGTGATGTCTGCGGACACTTGTCTGGTGGCTCTAGGTATGGTCAGATTTGGTGGGCTCAGGAGCGTGTCCCTGTGTGGCTGGGGAGTGCGTGTTTGATGCAGTGGGTTAAGTCCTGTGTCTGTCACCAGCGGAGTCTCTGTGGGCTGTGCCAGCCTGCACCACCCTGGGGACTACTCTGTGGTCAGCGCCAGGACCCACCCGGGGTCTTCCATCATTTTTTTTTTTTTTTTTTTAAATATATTTTTCTTTCAGCCTCTCCGGCTCTTCCCTCAGGGCTTTTTGAAGGCTCATATAGCTGGGGAGTCTGTTGAGTTCTCATTTCTCATTCATCCTGACAGTCTTTTTTTTTTTTTTTTTTTCTTTGAGAATGGAGTCTGTCTGTCACCCAGGCTGGAGTGCAGTGGCAAGATCTTGGTTCACTGTAATGTGTGCCTCACAGGTTCAAGCAGTGCTCCTGCTTCAGCCTCCCAAGTAGCTGGAATTATAGCCGCCCGCTACCACATCTGGCTAATTTTTATATTTTTAGTAGAGACAGGGTTTCACCATATAGGCCGGGTTGATTTCAAACTCCTGGCTTCTGGTGATCTGCCTGCCTCAGCCTCCCAAACTGCTGGGATTGATCCTGACAGTCTTTAAGTATGGACTTAATTCTTCAGGTAGTCTGTCATATTCTATGGTCTTGTTGCTTTCTAGTTACCTTTTTAATATTTCTTTTCATTTGCTTTTCTTCTCTTTCTCCTGGTTTGGAAGTTTTACTTCTAGTCTAAGGTTAAGAAGGACTTCTGTTTAAAGTCCAAAGTTATGAGATACAATCTCTGCATTCCTCCCAGACCAGACTGACAGAAACTCTGTCCTGTTCTCATGGCAGTGCTCTTGGGTGTTTTAATTCCACCCCCTCCCCTTTTTTTTTTTTTTTGAGACAGACTTGCTCTGTTGCCAAGGCTGGAGTGCGGTGGTGCCATCTCAACTCACTACAACTCTGCCTCTCAGCTTCAAGCAATTCTCCTATCTCAGCCTCCTAAGTAGCTGGGACTACAGGCACAGGCCATCACACCCAGCTAATTTTTGTATTTTTAATAGAGAGGGTTTCACGATGTTGGCCAAGCTGGTCTCAAACGCCTGGCTTCAAGTGATCCACCTGCTCGGCCTCCCAAAGTGCTGGGATTACATGAGCCACTGTGCCCGGTCGACGTAAGCATTTTCTTGGTCCATGTTTATTTATGTTACCCACGTTTCTTCTTAACTGGCTTCATTGCCTCCTTTCTCCTGGACAGAGTCCTCTGTCCGACAGGTGTCTGATGGCATGGGGCTGGCTTTGGTTTTCCAGGTATCCCCTCATTCAAGCCACCTCCCACAGAGCTGCATGGCCAGGCTCACTCTGGGCACGGGGACTACCCGATGAACAATGGGCAGCAGGCGGGGCAGCAGGAGTACCTGGGGACAGCTGAAGTCCAGGGTCCTCTAGGCAGCCTTGGGGGCTAATGACCTGCCCCAGTGGGGAACAGTCGGGAGCTACATGCACACGTGTCCATGGCAGCTGCAGGTTTCCAGAGCTGGCTGTAGAGGGTGGGTAGCTCCTGGTGTGCTCCCAGGCAGGCCAATGGCAGAAGCTGCCGCCTTCTCCCTAACCTTCCTGCCTTCCTCCCCAGCTTCATCACATTTCGCTCCTGTGCCTACCTAGACAAGAAGCACACCATCTTTGGACGGTAAGGGAAGTGGCTCTGTGAAGCCTGGGGGGTCAGTGGGGTAGGTGGGTTCCTTCCTCGTCTGAGGCGGCCTCACCAGACCTGAGCCATGTGCTATGCTGGCTGTCACTGCTGGGGGTTGAGGCTATGCAGAGCTGGGACCGGGGGTGCTCCATGGGCCAGAGAAGTCTGGCTCTCCAGACTCACCAGGCTCAGGCCGGGTGCAGTGACTCAAGCCTGTAATCCCAGCACTTTGGGTGGCCGAGGCGGGTGGATCACGAGGTCAGGAGATCGAGACCATCCTGGTCAACATGGTGAAACCCCGTCTCTACTAAAAATACAAAAAATTAGCTAGGCATGGTGGCGCGTGCCTGTAATCCCAGCTACTCAGGAGGCTGAGGCAGGAGAATTGCCTGAACCCAGGAAACAGAGGTTGCGGTGAGCCGAGATCGCACCATTGCACTCCAGCCTGGGTAACAAGAGCAAAACTCCGTCTCAAAAAAAACAAAACAGACTCACTGGGCTCAGGAGAGGAGGAAACTTGCCCCTGCATGGCCTGCCTGCTGCCCTGTCTCAGAACTGACTGCGCACCACTCCCAAGTCTGGCCACGCCTGGCTCCCTTCACCCTCTAGTCCAGTGGGCTCTCCAGCATTGTGGGCCACATGGTCTCTGACACCCATCCAGTTGTGTGGAAGCAGCATGAAACCAACAGGATAGACACAGGTGTCATGTAGAGTTCTGGCCAAGTAGAACTGTATTTACCAAACCAGTAGAGAAAGCACAAACCATGTTTTGTGACTCCTGTTTTTCCTGGGGGTTGAGGGGGAACCAAAGAAAACAGAAAAAACCCAAGTGGATTTGCCCAGGGCCATGTTCTGCTAACCCCGCCCTTGCCACTCCCTTTCCCTGCCTTCCTGGTGGCTGCGGAGGACTGACAGGCCAACCTCCAGGAGGACCCCAGCATCCTGGGCATGCTCTCAGCCCCTCTTCTCTCATGCCTTGGGGGCTCAGCTGTCGGGGTGCCCTCCCCGAACACATGCACACCTGCCTCTGTCTCCCTGCTACAGGGTTGTTGGGGGCTTTGACGTACTGACAACCATGGAGAATGTGGAGAGTGACCCCAAAACTGACCGCCCTAAGGTCTGTCCCCAGGGAAGCGGGGCGTGGTGGCTAGGGGCCAGGCAGGCCGGGGGAGGACCTGCCGCGCACTGAGCCCTCTCTGCTGCTAGGAGGAGATCCGAATCGACACCACTACAGTGTTTGTGGACCCGTACGAGGAGGCTGATGCCCAGGTGAGGGGGCATGATGCCACCACCTATGAGGGTCGGAACCAGTGCACCTTCCCACCCCAAGCCTAGCATCTGTCCTGCCCGAGGTGCTGCTGGTTAGCCACCGCCCTGTTGTGCCACAGATCGCCCAGGAGCGGAAGACGCAGCTTGAGACTGCCCCGGAGACCAAAGTGAAGAGCAGCCAGCCTCAGGCAGGGAGCCAGGGCCCCCAGACCTTCCGCCAGGGCGTGGGCAAGTACATCAATCCAGCAGTCACGTGAGTGCCACAGGGATGTCCTGTTTCCCATGATGCTTCCTAGGGCTAACTGAGGACTGAGGGTCAGACCCAGAGGGGCAGGAAAGCCACGGGCATTGGTCCTGGGTGTGGGCTTGTGCTCTGTGGCCTCTGCAGATGAGGACCACCTCTGAAGGCCTGGCCAGGGCCTCAGCAGGTGGAAGCGATTGCATTCAGGGGGACATGGGCGCAGCAGTTGGGAGGGGTTGGGCCTACACGGGAGGGCTGTGTGGAGGGTGTGGGCTCCCAGCAGCTGCTTCTATTCCCAGGAAGCGAGCGGCAGAGGAAGAGCCCTCAACCAGTGCTACTGTCCCCACTTCCAAGAAGAAGCCCAGTCGGGGTTTTGGGGACTTCAGCTCCTGGTAGCAGCAGGTTGGTCACTGTGGACCTTGGTGGGTTGCAGGGCTGGGCTTGTGTCCACTTCTCTGTTTCTAGCCTTCTTGCTGCCCTCTGTTGCCATCCAATAAAGCTTGTACCTGCTGCCTGCATCCCCTTTCTTGGCCCCTGGGAGCCCATCGACTCCCCATCCCTCGACCTGTTGCCAAGAGGCTTGGCTCTGTTTCCAGGACCTGGCCCAGGCAGAGCCCACTGCTGGGACCTCCAGGCATAAGGCCTGCCCTGCACACAGGCTGGCACCCCAGGCTTCCAGTAGGCACGTCAGGTTAGTGAGAAAGGACTATCTCTCCAGATTCTGTTTTCCTCTTTAAGACCAGGTCTTGCTCTGTTGCCGAGGCTGTAGTGCAGTGGTGTGATCATGGCTCACTGCAGCCTTGACCTCCTGGGCTCAAGTGATCCTCCTGCCTCAGCCTCCCAAGTAGCTAGGAGTACAAGTGTGCATCATCCTACCCAGCTGTAAGTCTGGTTTTCTTACCCCTTCTTCTGTTATCTTCTCAGGGACTGTCTGTATACGACGAATGTGGTCCCCTGACTAATGCCATCACCTGGGACACGTTTTCAGATGCTGGGCCTTCTGAGCCTAAGCCTCTGCAGGGTGGGCTCCTCAGTCTGTTTTGGCAAAACCTTAGGGGCTTCTGATGGCCAGCGCTGGATTGCACCATTGATGTTACTTTTTTTTTTTTTTTTTTTGAGACGGAGTTTCGCTCTTATTACCCAGGCTGGAGTGCAATGGCGCGATCTCGGCTCACCGCAACCTCCACCTCCTGGGTTCAGGCAATTCTGTCTCAGCCTCCTGAGTAGCTGGGATTACAGGCACGCGCCACCATGCCCAGCTAATTTTCTGTATTTTTAGTAGAGATGGGGTTTCACCATGTTGACCAGGATGGTCTCGATCTCCTGACCCCGTGATCCACCCGCCTTGGCCTCCCAAAGTGCTGGGATTACAGGCTTGAGCCACCGCGCCCGGCCTGACGTTACTTTTAAACACCTTTCCTGCTCTTGGGGACGGAGGCAACTGCTCTGGCCACGTAGCACCTGGGCTTTATCCCAAGCCTGCCTGGCTTCTCTCTGCCCCATCAGAATCTTGAGGGGACCCACACTGGTTGAGGCCAGTGTCTACGGCCATGAGAACAAGTGGCTGACCCTCTCCCTGCCCTCCCGCTGAGAAGGGGGCCTTGCCCTCAGGACCGGACATTGGGCTCCACGACTCTGCTCCTCCTGTCACAGACTCTGATGGCCTTGGGCCGGCCGTATTAGCATCTCCTAACTGAACGATCCCTCCTTGACCCCCATTTTTCTGATAAATGTGCCCCTGGCTGGCTTTTTCTTCCATCGTCAGCCTGTCAGTGTTCTCTGATGTCAGGCGTGCTCCTCGCCTGATGCTTGCCTCTTGGGTTTCCTGAGGCCACCGCCCCTCTCCAGAGCTTAACACTAAGTCCTAACTTAGGCCTTGTTCTTGGTTTTCTCAATTTCATCACCCCATATCTTGAACCTATCAGCAACTTCCAGGCTGTACCTCTGCCATTCCTTTTCTCATCACTGATGCTGAAGCTGCAGGGCTGAGCCCTTTGTCTCCCTGGATGTCAGGTGATAACCTCATCTGCCTCCCTGTCCACTGCCATAGGCTGTTCGATGACTGCTGGAGGCCTCTCTGCCCCTTGTCACCCTGCTGCACATCAGCCCCTGGCCTTTCATCGTGCTGAGAACAAGGACTACAACCCGGCTCACTCCTTCGCCTCTCCAGCCGCTCACCCCTGCCTGTGACTGGCTCTAAAGTGACTTGACACCCTCCATGCCTCCCACCAGGCATTGCCCTCAGTGAGGCCTGGTCCAGCCTGGCAGTAACTCGCTTGTAAGAGGCTCAGACACCAAGCTGGGCCTGCACAGGAGAGATGCAGTAGGACACCTGTAGGCCTCTGAGCCAGTGTCCGAGGTATGTGGGGGGCGGGGGGAAGGGGGCAGGGAGCTGGGGGTGAAGGCCTGAACAGGGAGGGAGAAGGAGGTTTGGAAGGACCCTGACCCCCTGGCTGGCCCTGACTCTATTCTCTGGCCACACTCAAATCCCCCTGATGGTGGGGGCAGAGGTATGACCAGGCTGCCCTTGGCTCCAGAGCTCCAAGACCCCACGACAGCCCTCTGCTCTCGGTGGTGCCACAGAGAGCTTGAGCTCAGCCTTCTGGATCAGGTCATGGCCTCATCCACAGAGGGCACAATTTAAACATTTGACATCAGAAGCTTTATTCGTAAACCTCACACAGATACGGACCAAGGGCTGGCAGTGTGGCCAGAGGACAGAGGAGGCTGAAGGCCCCACGCTTGGGCACGGCAGTTTTGCTCCGTGAAGCTGCCGTGGGTGACCTTCCAGCTTCACCAGCGGTCTGCACAGTGCAGGAAGGGCTTCAGGGCTGTCTGCCCCTGGGGCAGAGGATAGGCCTCCAAGCACCTTTGGGCAAGTGAGGGTTTACATTTCTGTAGTTTGTTTTAGAGCTTAATTTGTAGTTTTCTAGATATTAAAACCACTCGGATTTTTGGGAAGATTCTTACTTCTGATTCTGTTATCTGACAGATACCATAAAGAATAAGCATTAAGGTATAAAAATACTGTGTATAAAACAACACTAAACCACATTCCTAAAGCAAATGCAGTGTGCCAGACATACTAGTGTTTCATTTAAATCCATTTATAACCCTGACATCACCTCCCTGTTCTCAAGGAAGATTTTAAAATAATTTAAATAAAAGTCCCAGATGCTATTGTTTAGGAATTTAAGAGGGTGGTGGATATGGTCTTATGAATAGCACTTCCCCTGAAGCCAGCTCATGGTCAGTTCATTTGGTTTAAAAAGGAGCTTGTATTTTGCAGAAGACCAACAAAAAAAGTGATAAAAGTTTTGTTGGTATAAATTACAAAAGAAAAAAAAAAGTCATAAGACTACCAGTAAAAAATGTTCAGTCAGTGCCATCACAAAGGACAATACAAAAACCAAAGTGCTCAAACAGAAGGAGCAGTAAACTTGCCCAAAACATAGAAAAGCTTTAAATAGAATTTTAGTATATACAAAAATCGGTCAGAAGAGTTTTAGAAGATTCTTCAATTTAAGTGAAGCATCTTGAGTCACTCAGGACCTTGCTGTCCTCACAATGGCACAAGCCCCCCAACTGTTTGCCTAGTCCCCGAGGTATCTGAGGCTGGGTTCCCACGTGGGAAAGGAATGAAGACTCGAAGGGAAGGATCAGTTTAAGCTAAGTTTTCAGTGAACTCCTTCCTCCAGCTGGGAAGGTGTCTTTCAGCCTCTTCACAGTCTCAAAACCATTGACTGAAGCCACAGGTGTTGCTAACGTCATGTGCCAGCTCATGGGTGGAGCCTCTTCAAGGCTTGAGACCATGGCAGTGAGAGCCCGGCAGCCTGCAGTGACTCCCAGGTTCTGGGTGACTGCACGCGAGCTCAGGAGGATGGGGATGTGCTGGGCCAGCCTAAACACGCGGGGGAGGCTAGCGCAGGGAGAAAGCTGCTTGCAGGGCCACAGCAGGATGTGGAGGCTTACGAGACAGTACAAGGATTACCTTCCTAAATGGAAGATGTGCTTTAAAGGAACTGCCTCTCGCTCCTGCTGAGCTGACACATCTCAGTGCCGTGCCCACCAGGGCAGTGGCATTTCCCACATTCCAAGGCTTTGAGGCTTGGGCAAAGAGATAGTACCCAAAGGCATGCTCTATGTGGGCAATGAACTTGAGTGGGCACAGTTCAATGCCTGCCCGGGCCACAGGTCTGGGTTTAGGAGGGGCTGCAGTTGGGGGAGGTGAAGCTGGGCAGGAGGTTCTTGTCTACCAGCTCACACTCTTGCCCTAGACTAGCTTTGTCTGAAGGCAGCTTCAGAGCCACTTGCCAGGTTGAGAAATATCCAGGCTCAGTGCTCTCCTAGCTGCTGCTCCTCTGCCTCCCCCAGCCCCCTGCCTGCCCTCTGCTCTGAGACAAGTTACTAAATATTGAAAACCAAACTTATCTGGGAGTGGCTTTTGGCCTCCATCCTCTGCAAGGTGGCCTAAACCCTTTATGGGGTGCCCACTCCCGGTGGAGGGCAGGTGGGTAGATGGACTGGAATTTATAATAAAATATGTGGCAGAAACACAGGCCTTAGTAGATTCCACAGGCCCCTCTATCAGTTCATGTGACATGGGACAGCACCAGGCAGGGAGGGGCGATGCGTCCAGCAGGCCAGCCGTCTGCATGCACAAAGGCCAAACTTCTCATTTTAACCTTTTCTGAGCGAATTTTAAAACATTCTAGCAAATCTCAAGTTTTGAAGTTTTTCCTGTGGGTTCTGGACTCTTTCATATGCAAAAATAATTCTTTTTCTTCAAGTACATCCAGGGTAGAAAATTAAATGTGACTTTTACTCGGTCCAGTGGGTTAATTTAACGACATGGACCAGCCACTGAGTAACTGCCTGCTACCTAAGCTGCTTCACCGCTGAGGGCACAACCCCCGGTACCAGACCCTGTGAGGCTGTCCCCTCAGTAACAGTACCTCTGGAGGCCCCTGGGACAGCGTTCTCTAAGAACTAGCTCACCTGCTTTCTAGATAAGGAATCTATTGGCATAAATAAACAAGATGTTCCACTAGACACATTTCTCTATAGTGTATCTAAAATGTCAGTGCTGGCCTCTGGAAGATTCTTAAGTGAACACTGTACTTTAACAATCCATTTGCAAGAGGAAGAGCCAATTTGAAGCAGGGTGGAGGGTGGGCTACAATATCTTTTCTCTGAAAAAGGGAAAGGTAAGACTTGCTATCTAAAGAGACCCTGTCCCTATGGTCTTCAAAGACTCAGTTTGGTTTCCTACTGAACCTAAAAAAAGCAGATACCAACTATATTGAAGACAAAGGTACAAGGAAGGTATTAACTAGGCAGATAAGTCATCAGTTGGTTAATTCTTTCTCTAGAACTTGAAAAAGCTCATTGAAAATTTTCAGAAACAACCGTATACACAAAGAGAACAGATCAGATGGGACACCTTACCCACAGAAATGGCTGAGAGTGTCAACAGCTATGTGCAACTAGCCTTTGAGGTCAGAGGGCAAGAAAGGCTGTCAGATGCTCCTAAGTTTCCATCACATTCAGTTTCTTTCACAAAATAGCATTCGAAGGAGAAGGAAAAGTTCTCACTTTACTCCCAGCCATTGTCTTTGATCATGTGAGCAAGCTCAATGATGAATTTTCCTTCCTTGTATTTCTGACTGCTCTCAAAGGCATGTTCCTTGAAAAACAAGAGACAAAGGTTTCAAGACGAGTTTTCACTTTTCAATTTCACCACTCCTTTGGCAAAAACAAAACAACAACAAAACCCAAGTGTGTACTATTAACTATACCCAGATGTTCCCTGAGCCGTCACTCACCCAGCGCCAGGAGGGCAGCACATAGGCTAAAAGGTTTTCCGTTCCTTTGTTTTGAGATAGGGTCTCACTCTGTGGCCCAGGCTGGAGTGCAGTGGTGTGGGGGTCATAGCTCACTGCAGCCTTGACCTCCAGGCTCAAGTGATTCCTCCTCAGCCTCCCAAAGTGCTGGGATTACTTGTAGGACAGTGGAGCGCAGATCTGTTTACTGGACATTTACTACCTGTGGGGTAATTTCAGAGGCTTGAAGATACGCAGAGGACTACACTCCAGGAATTCCGTGCCTAACTGGAGTGAAGGGGGAGAGCCAGACATCTGGGGCCTGCGCACAGTGGTGCACACCTGTAATCCCAGCACTTCGGGGGGCCGGGACAGGAGTTTGAGACAAGCTTACACAACATAGTTTGGTTTTCTTCTACAAAAATAAAAAAATTACTAAACTAGCTAAGTTTGGTGTGCCAATTGTCCAGCTACTTGGGAGGCTGAGGTAGGAGGACCACTTGAGCCCAGAAGGCTGAAGCTGCAATGAGCTGAGATTGACCAAGACCCTGTCTCAAAAAACCCAGGGTATCTGGAGAAGGCCCTTCATGGGGAGGAGTTCTCTCTCCCACAAACACATCCTCATCGTTTTGTTATGCCGAGTGTGTGGCCTGGTGCTAGGGACACAGACGACCAAGACAGGTCCTGCCTACCCAAGCGGCAGCTCCAGGTGTGGCAGACACAGGAGGGCCTGTGCCAGCAGGAAGCAGTGGGTGCAGCTGTGGCAGGAATGCAGTGTGGTGGCCATGCAGGGAAGGCAGGGGTTTCTGGAAGTGGGGCCCACAGACGGGTATGGCACTGACCAGGGGGAAGGGCTGGGATGCATGCCTGTCTCATGGAGCCTGTTTCCACAACCCACAAGGAATCTGGGAGACCAGAGATGATCAGAAGTTCAGGAAAGGGGGAGAGCAGGCGGCCTGGACCCAAAGAACACCAGAGCCAGAATGGGAAAGCCTCCTCCAAAAAAGGATGCTGGGCGCGGTGGCTCAAGCCTGTAATCCCAGCACTTTGGGAGGCTGAGGCAGGTGGATCACAAGGTCAAGAGATCGAGACCATCCTGGTCAACATGGTGAAACCCCGTCTCTACTAAAAATACAAAAAATTAGCTGGGCATGGTGGCGCGTGCCTGTAATCCCAGCTACTCAGGAGGCTGAGGCAGGAGAATTGCCTGAACCCAGGAGGCGGAGGTTGCGGTGAGCCAAGATCGCGTCATTGCACTCCGGCCTGGGTAACAAGAGCGAAACTCTGTCTCAAAAAAAAAAAAAAAAAAAGGCAGGCAGGCAGGCCAGGCGCGTGGCTCACGCCTATAATGCCAGCACTTTGGGAGGCTGAGACTCACTTGAGGTAGGAGTTGGAGACCATCTCAAAAAAAGAAGGGCGATGGGAACATCTACCAGATAGCCCGAGTGTCAAAACCATGGAGTCTGAGGTGGTCGGGGGGAGAGGAGGACTCGCCAGATATAGTGGAGCCTGGAAGACAGACTTGAGGACAGTGGAGGAGGGAGAGCAGGGCAGGAGGGTGCAGGGCCTGAGGGCGCCAGGTTGGTTGACTTTGGAGGCCAGATCAGGGTGCAGAGAGCCCTGCTTAGGAAGAAATGGGGATTGAAAATGTGGTGGGGATTGAAAAAGTGGTGTTTTTTGTTTTGTTTTGTGCCGGGGCCTCACTGGCGCCCAGGCTGGGGTGCAGCGGTGAGATCACCGCTCACTTGCAGCCTTGACCTCCAGTCCCCGCCTGAGGAACTGGAGTTTCTGAAAGTGCTGTGACTGGTACCGGAGCCACACTGCAGGGGGAAGGTGTAGCTCGGTGCCACGTCCCCATGTGGCACAAGCATCCCTGAGAGCGGGCGGCACTCACATATTTCCACCCGAGCGTGGTCTTGCAGTTCTCGCAGTAGATGTCGGCGACTGCGTGTAGCCCGGTGAGAAGGACTCTCTCTTCTGCGGGGCCGCAGCCCACGTTCACCCTGCGGGGACAGAGGGGCCACCGCGCTGGAGGCCCGGCCCGCCCCTGGCCAGGCCCCGCCTTGTCCCCCTAGGAGTTCCCTTAAACGGAACCGGCCGGGGAGCAGCACCGCACCTCTCCCCCAGCCCTGCCCACCACTGGGAAAGAATGATGGAACAGGCTGGGGGGCAAGATCCTTAGCGAGCTTTCAGAAACTCCCAGGCAGGGAACAGTGGTCCTTTCAGGACCTGGAAAGACCCAGGTGATTCTACACAGGGCACTGCGTAGGTGCCATCCAGGCCGGGCCCGTGCCACCCCCCAGGCTGAGCCAGGATACTCACACGGAATTGAAGAGGTAGGCGCGTCCCTGGCTCCCCTGAAAGGACTGAAAGAAGAAGAAAGCCCCATGAGACTGGCTGTGAGTGCTTTCTGGAAAGAAGAGGTGCTGTGCAGAGCCATGGGAGCCCTGCCCCGCCACCAGGGTTCTGTTAGCTGCACCAGATGGGTCACTGGGAGCAGACACTGGCATCCACCTCTAGAATTCCACTTGTAATAACAGCCACTTAACAAAGCTGCAAGCTGTTTTTGAGTGTTGACGGTCAGGAAGTGGCTGACTGCTGCATCAACATTCTTCCAAGTGACTATTATTGTGGAATCATGGCAAAATCAGTTTTTAAATGATTTCATATGTTTGCACAGCTCTACCTGATTAGAGGGGTTCTGAGTGGGGATCACGAAAGATTTTTCTCTACCTGAAAACCCACAGATCCTCAGAAGGCTCTCCTCGCTGCCTCTTGTGCAGCAGTTCAGATGCGTTGCTGTCAGATATTAGGGGGAAGTGTCCATAGTTTCCCACTGAAATGTTTTCAAAGTCACAGCCATGGCTGGGCACGGTGGCTCACAGCCTGTAATCCCAGCACTTTGGGAGGCCAAGGCAGGCAGATCACCTGAGGTCAGGAGATCGAGACCAGACTAACCAACACGGTGAAACCCCATCTCTACTAAAAATACAAAAATTAGGCCAGGCGCAGTGGCTCACACCTGTAATCCCAGCACTTTGGGAGGCCGAGGTGGATGGATCACCTGAGGTCAGGAGATTGAGACCAGACTAACCAACATGGTAAAACCCCATCTCTACTAAAAATACAAAAATTAGGCCGGACGTAGTGGCTCACGCCTGTAATCCTAACACTTTGGGAGGCCGAGGTGGGTGGATCATCTGAGGTCAGGAGTTTGAGACCAGCCTGGCCATCATGGTGAAACCCCATCTTTAAAAAACAAAACAAAAATTAGCTGGGCATGGGTGGTGGGTGCCTATAACCCTAGCTACTTAGGTGGCTAAAACAGGAGAATCACTTGAACCCAGGAAGAGGAGGTTGCAGTGAGCCAAGACTGTACCACTGCACTCCAGCCTGGGCAACAAGAGTGAAATTCTGTCTTTAAAAAAAAAAAAGTCACAGCACAAGATAGAGAAAGGCCCTTCTAGTGACATCTCACCAGGAAAATATCATGAGCTCAGAAACAGCTCATGATATATTCACGTATTCTAAGGTGACTAAGCATGAAGGAGCCAGAATAGGGCATCTGTACCCCTTGATGCACTCAGGTCACTCCCCGTGACCTTTGCCCTCACAGAACAGGTGGGAACGCCTGCTCCAGTGCCCCCGTCTCAAGTCTCAATTGACTTGAGATGCAAACCAAATCAAACATTTTTGGGGGGTTTACTTGTTTTGAGATAAAGTCTTGGAGGTGGGGGTGGGGATTAAAAAAAAAAAAGATGGAGTCTTACTCTGTCACCCAGGCTGGAGTACAATAGTACCATCTGGACTCACTGCAGCCTCTGCCTCTTGGTTCAAGAGATTCTCCTGCCTCAGCCTCTCCAATAATGGATTACAGGCACACAGCACCACACCCAGATAATTTCTGTATTTTTAGAGATAGGATATTTTAGAGAGAGGGTTTTGCCATGTTGGCCAGGCTGGTCTCAAACTCCTGGCCTCGAGTGATCTGCCCATGCTGGCCTCCCAAAGTGTTGGGATTATAGGCGTGAGCCCCCGTAGCCTGGCTTACATTACAGTTTATAATGGAGGCTATTTAAAAATGTCTTGGGTCATTTGGTAAGAGATGCTCACTCAATACCACTCCCATGAAGGAAACTGTGTATGTCATCCATGATATACATTGGCAGATTTTCATATATAAATTTCACTGGAAAGAAGAGAGGAAAGCAACATTTCTGTATAAAACAAAGA